CCATTTTCTCTCATACATGCTACCAAGTCCCTTTAAATCTGAAAGTACGCTTCGTTCTTACATCATTAAATATAAAACCATAATCAAACGATCCCAGACTATTCTACTAAGGTCGGACTATATTCAGATACATATAATACCCAGTAAAAGATATTGCTTTTAGCATTCGAGAGAGAGAGAGAGATAGTCAGAAATAGAGATCCTTTATTTGTATATGTTTTGAAAAAGTAAAAAACTACCAGTTCATTGTCAGCATCTGACGCGCTTCTACATTTCCTTCACTCACATGATCTGCATTCAATTTTGACAAATGATCTTGTTTGAGCGTGGGAGACAAGCGATGCATAGCCTAATATAACAATAAATGGGCGATATTTTTTTTGGTCTCCGCCTACTAGAGCATGTGAAATGCATTCTGTAGGTTAAGAACATAGACGTTGAACCAAACCGAGTGGGCGGCTCCAGGGTATACTACCTGTTTGACTACTTCACTTTTATGAAATGCTTTCAATTGTACCAACAACAAACAAGTCTTTTGTACCCTTGTGGTCTTCACAAAGTAAATTCTAAACGTTTTTATGAAGCCTCGGATGAGGCCCAGGAAGACAATACATTCTGGAGGTATCTGATCAAACGGACCATGTTATGTTGTATTCATAAAAAGAAGGCACCTGGGTATCATTCTACGATCAAAAGTAATAATGCAAGTTAGACACATGTCTGGTATAACCATGCTTGTACAAAAGTGTTCCATGCTTGTACATCTACAGAGTGAGTCAGAAAAAATGTCTCACTTTTTAAAAGTTGTATTGTTTGAAGTATAAATATTTACTTATGGGTTTCATGGTATCTCTTGATAGAGTTATCCTCCTAGTATATTTAGGTACCATTTTCATTTGAATCTCTGCATGCATGATTGAACATTAGACAATCTTTACAAGACTGACAGATCTCACTTGCGCGAAGATACTGGGTGAGGAATAAAACAGTGCATTGAACAAAGTTAGTCAGACAGACACACACACACATGCACACACACACGCACGCATCACACACGCGCGCACACGCATACACAGACACACACAAACTCACCCACACGCACACACACAAAACACACGGTAACAATTGTTTCATAATTTCCCCTTTTCTGATTAAGCATTCATTTTTATCAAGATCGCTGAATGTTTAAGTGGCATTGCCCTGACAATCTTTCCCGCTACCACTATCATATCATCATCATCATTATTGTCATCTTTTTAATCGTTATCATTATAATCAACAACAACGTGAAGTGCTCATGAATCAAATGTGCTATCTCAATACGTAAGTACATTATCAATCGATAGCTATGTCTTTTGTTGGTGTGTGGATATCCGTGTGTGCTTGTGCGTGTGCCTATTCGTGTGCGTGTGTGTACCTGTGTGTGTGTGTTTTTTTTTTACTGTCTGGCTGTCTTTGTTCAAAACAATATTTTATTCCTCACCCAGCAACTTGGCGCAAGTGAGATCTGGCAGTCTTGTGAAGATTGTCTGATGTTCAGTCATGCATGCAGATATTCAAATAAAAATGATACCTAAATGTACTGGGAGGATAACTTTATCAAGACATATCATGAAACCCATGATTAAATATTCATACTTCAAACAATACAACTTTTGAAAAGTGGGACATTTTTTCTGACTCACTCTGTATATCCCTCTCATTTTTTATGCTCATAATCTGCGATATTTTGTATTCACCTTCTCCATTATGTTTGTGTTTGAATGCAATGTGGAACGGCTCTGTTTGGATTATATTCATATTCAATGTTTTGTTTATCACGGTCTGTGAAGAGTAAGGAGAGTGTTTATTTATAGAGTATACTCCAGGTAAGGTTTGGCTATTTGCACACGATACAACATCTTATTTCTTACGTTTACTTGCACAAATGAAAATCAATTAAAACTTCAGAAGGTTTACAGAGATGTGTATTCGAGCGAAATATTAACAGACTAACAAATAGTCTTACCCCTTGAGAATATTTCCATTTGTGTGTTTTTCATTACTAAAGAATAAAAGGTAGGCTGGTTGAATGAGGACCTCTGTTGCATACAATACGATATGAGCTTTAATATTTCACACTCTCAAACAAAACTTAGATCTGAATTTAAACATTTTATCAAGAACTTCAAAAATTACAAAGCTTGATAAGGGTATGAATAATTTAGTTGATAACTGCATGTATACTGGATCATTCGCATCAAATTTGTCATTAATCCACGTTCTGAACTCCCTTGCTAGTTAATTATTTATTAGACAAGGGGCATCTTTGAAGTGGCATCACAGGGACGAGTGAGGGGGCGAAGCAAGCAATGAAAAAAGTGTTGGAGGGGTGCTTCCTCCTACGGTGAGAAATTATTTCATTTTGATGTTTGTAATCGTGCACTTTGGATCGTATTAATGGTATGTTTTATCGACTAAAAAGGGTCTTTATGATTTACAAAAGGTAAAAGTTTTGCTCTATCAAAATAAGCTGTACATATTTCAACTCAACATAATCATTCAACAGTAGATTCCTCACCTTTTGTTTGTGTTTTTAAGTCGCTTATTTCGGGAAAAAATCTGCTTATTTGCGAGATGTTCAGCTATCCGTGTGTAATTGTGGTTAAATATAGATTTTTTTTTTAATTATACCCTTGAAACATGTTAATTATGTCAGATTTTATCTCTCTAACGATTGATATGGAAAGTGAGAGTACTACTAATAGGTGTTTAAATATTCAAGTCACAAATTGGTTATAAATACTAATAATGATTATAATAATGGCCCGGGCATAGTAGGTGACAAGCAGTAAACAGAAACAGACTTAAAAACAAGTATAACAACCATAAAAACTACTGTCGAAATCAGCCAAAAACACGACGACAACAAAGGATATTCCTAATAAATTCAGGTCAAGTTTTATGTTTGTATTTCCCTGACCGTATTTCAACCCACCTCCTTAGTATATACAGGGGTGTACTACTTTATGTAAAGCCGTTTACATCAATAATAAGGTATGATATATCTTATTTCTTTGCTCTCAGGAAAAACAAAATTATGTAATATCATCATCAATAGTGATCTGTCAGTATGACAGGTTCAGTGACCCAAAAGGAATTCTACATCAAGTGTCTCTCCAAGTAACTTGGTCTTGAGCTATCCGTTTTAGCATATAATATCCTGGTGCTCCACATTCTGCGATTAAAAATATAACACCATTATATAAGATACCAACAAATATGTCGTTTTTTATAATAGATTCTTATAAATAGTATTTGTCAATATTATTAAGTGCAAAGTGTTTCACTATCCTTCGGGGCTTTGGGTTTGATCATCCCTAATGATGCTCACCTCTACGCGGTAACTTCAACTGCCTTGTTTGCTGTTGACTTCATGCTTAGGTGAAATGAAATTCAGATCATTGTCGTCCCGTTAAAAGAAAAGGCGGCCCGATGTATGCAGGTGCATTGCATGTAATGATACTTCATGTGTCTACTCATGTGACTACTCTAATTGAGATGCAACTTATCCGCCGCATGTATATAATTGTCATAGAACAGCTATTATCATGGTAATAACCACAGTATATATTACGACTAAAATTACTCTTTTATTGGACTTCGTGGCTCGATATATTTTCGCCACATTGTTTTAAAAAAAATTGTCATAGTGATGGGACGATTGAAAGGTAATCAAATCGATTATGCCACCTAATTATTAAACGAAATTTGTCGATAAAATAGCCACCATGAATTCCGATGAAGGACACGAGGAGTCTATTCGAACAGGTGGTCGAAGCATGGGGGGGGGGCTACCAGAACCCTCCCTGTCCTAAGGTAAACCAACTGGTCAGTCGACTGAAACAGGAACAATAGAACTTGACAATGTGCCATTGAAACACGTATAAAAGAAGCGTTGTTATCTAAACCAGTCATGGCGGCATAAGTAACCGCCCTAAAAGAAGCAGTATTAGGGACTTTTAGATTTGTACGCAGAAATAGTGGACTGCTATACGTGTGACGTCATACGTGTGACGTCATATTAGTATCTATATCCAAAAAAAAGGGCACGGGTTTGGCCGGACACGATAGAGCTACGGCCACAGAAAGAAAGCAAATTCCCTGAACTTTAAAGGGCGCTTCTTCTTCTTTTTTGCATAGCCATTTGAGCATGAAATATGGCATGGTTATGTACAATTATGAGATAAGGATACTGTGAGAAATTGAGACGAAACGGAATTGGTATGAGAAAGTTGTGACAATTTTAGATTTTTAGGCGTCCATTTTTCAAGAATTTTAGAGATTTTTGATGGAGTAGGTTCCGGATTTGAAAATCGAGTATGAAGTTGGCATTTTAAAGTTGAGGTTATACATCGCAGATGAAAAAAAAAAACATCTCTCGGACGATCTAGAGGAATATGTTAAAAGTCTGTAGGATCTAGGATAGTGAAGATAGGAAGGAAGAAAGAAAGGCCTTAAAACGGACAAGAATCGGACAACTGGACGTCTGGACTGTTACGCATGAGTACTTGGGGGGGGGGGAATGTAGTGACCTAGATTGCACTACGAAGTTTGAAAGGAATCTGGCTTGTGGAAAGGAAATAACTAGAGAATAACAAGCGCTACGTGCAAAACGAATGAGATTTCCGGACGAGAACAAGAACCAGAAGAATATTAATATAGAAGAATGTAAACGAAAACAATGCAATGACGAAAAATTTCATTGCGATTATATCTAGCTTTAGAATATATTCGTATATCACGGTATTTATTACGGTTCTGCTACACAACATGATGCGTTTAGAATATGTTGGTTCTGTAAGGTGTCATTGCTAATAACTTCCAGATGCTGTTTCTTTGCAAGTAAGCTATTTGTTGCCTTTATGGAATAACATTATTACGTCACGAATTAAACAAATCACTTATTTCCTCCTTTTTAATGCAGGTGTGAATTGTGCTATACCAGATGGTTTTGTGTATACCGACTTACAAAAAAATGTGGAGAAAGGAGATGAGCTTGCTCTAAAATGCGAATTTTATGGAGCGCCATCTTCCGTTAACTGGACGATAGGAGGTGAGTCCACGAGGCCATCCAACCTGATCAAATGGGTGGAAGGGGGATCCACTTCCGGGACATGCGTTCTTGACGGGGTCTGCTATATGAACGATGACTTCTCTCTCATCATCAGAAACATTACAGTTTCAGATCAAGGAACGTATACATGCATAGTAACAAACTACGAAGGAATCCTGATCCACAATTTCACAGAAGTAAACGTCTTTGGTAAGCATATCATTCTGTGTACATTTTGAAGTATGACTGAGAAATAATCCTAAAGAGGGTTATTTCATAACAGTCTCCATGCTGTAAAGTAACACTACCCCTGCATGTTATCATGATAGTTGTTGAATGTAACAAGTATAGATGGAAGAAAAATATCATTTTTCATATACTACAATATTTACCTTTATATTAATAGTTATAGTTATATATTCAAGCTGAAAATTTAAATTAGAATAAATAGCTTTGTGTGTTACATGACAGTTCTCCTACATGAAGACATGATTTTCCTTGATAGAGTCATAGTGTACTATTTCATTTTCAGCTCCTCCGATGGAACCCTTTCCCCTTATCGATGAATGTCGAGGAATACTTCCAAATGATGCCGAACAAACCTGTAGTCTTTCAACCTCTGATAACATCACCATCACCTGCTCAGCCTCAAGCTACTTTCCAGACATCGATCTCTTCTTCTCACACGGATCTAAACAGATGGATGCAACTAATGTCAAGGAAGATGTTAACATGGACGGGACGAAAAGCAAGTCAATCTCCATCGTCGCTGAACCGAGTGAAAGTCCCTTTGTTTGTGTCGCTTCTGATATCCCGGGATCGCAAGACCAAAAAACAGTGACTGTGACCGTGACCTTTATAGGATCTACCACTTTATCTCTGAGTGGAGTTGGTAAGAATTCAAGACGAAATATCTTTGTTGTCTTTTTATTCGACCAGTATTCGACAGTTGATAAACAATGTAAAACTGTTGTCACCTGTGGTATCAGTAAACAGTATCCGCACAAATGTTGGATATTATACATTGAACTTAATTTCACTCATTTCAGATGACGTTTGACTGAATGTAAGCGGGTTTCACCGCATAAGAAAACATTAAACGTGGTTTTAACTGCTCATCATGCACTCTGAAAACTGTAGTGTGAAATCACAATTTTAAAGGGCTGAGGATTGACCACTTTTTTTAAAAAATGTCAGATCAACACTTTTACCATGTTATGTCTACGTGTAGAATCAACATTTATGCTGTAGGATCCAGAATGTTAAGAGTGTTAATCTAATTTGATCGAAATGGTGATTTAACATTTAAGTATTTCGAGTCTAACAGAAAAGTGATCGACGACAAGTTTGATTCGTTGACGATATTATTTAATCTATTTGCAGTTGTACCAGTAGTTATCGTTATCATTCTTATACTGGCTGCGATTTGGTGTGCAGTATTGTGGCGTAGGAGGAGCCAACGGAGGAGTCAAGGTATGTTTATATATATTTAGATATATATGGCTCGTCATCCCTGGGTTGAGTTATGAACACTTATCATAGTCAGTATTGGAAAGAAAAGAAAATATCTCGGAGTGCAAAACGAATGGACAGGGTTTTATTTGTATAGAGTTATATTTCCGATTTTTCTATGACTACGATGTTATTTATTATGGCGATGATGTTTGAATGGATGCAGTTATATTTTAATATGATACCTTGTTTTTGGCAAACCTTTGATCTTTACGGAATAGAATCTGAAACAAAACAACTTTGAAAGAAAGTATCACGCTAAAATGTTATGGGGTACTATCAATAGTTTCAGATTTCTTTATCAAAAGCCAAACACATCAATGAAGTAAATAGGGTGTGTGCTGCCAACATATTTTAGAGTCGGAAGTAACATCGGAGGATTCAAGGTATTTTTATATTGATGGCTCGTCATCACTAGGTTGAGTTATGAACACTCATCATCATCAATCCTTCAACGAAAAGAAAATACCTCACAGAAGAAAACGAATGAAAAATATTTATTTGTTATGGAGTCATATTTTTTTTTTCTCTGACTACAATGTAATTTGATATGGCAAAGACGCTCAAATACATAAAGAAATATACTATTCTGTTACGATGTATTTGGTGAGCCTTTGATCATCACGAAATAGAATCTGATTCGAAACTTTGAAAGAAAATATAATTCTCAAATTTTGGGGGGTAATATGATTAGATTAAAGCCTAATTTGCTTATCAAAAGACCAACAAATAAATGACATACGTAAAGGTCTACGAGCACCGAAATAATAATTCTATAAAAATGAATACACCAAATAGAATTGTCTTGAAACTTTATGGCAAATAAAAATGACAAAGAATGTTTCATTTATATATTGCATCATATCATACTTTTAATGCCCTTTACAGGGACTAAGATCAAATATACTTTTCACCGCGAATTTCTAAGGCTATTTTCCTTTAAAACTTTTCTTAACGTACAGGAGAAGGCGACCCAGAATCCATGCAACTACAAGTAAAAGGTAAATCCTTACATTTATCTATCATGAACAAAATTAAAAATGTAATTTCTTTTGTTTGCAGATACACACACAACCACACACATGCACCAAAAACACGCGCACAAACACACACACACCCTTGATTAATCAATTATGCAATGAACTGATATTCAAACGATGAGAGAGGAAGGTCATAAAGCAGGTACGTGCGTTATGCAGGATAAACATTTATATTGCCTTTCAAATCATTTTTAAAAAAACATAAGCTATCAAAATAATTTTGGACATATTGTCAATATACAATCGTAAGAGTTTTTAATTCATCACTTGCTTTTAAAATGGACTTGGATGCAAAATTTCTCAATTCAAAAGAAATTTGACTATTTATCAGTCCCAAATTATATTCGACCACACAACTCTCGATGTCTTTATAATGACGTGACCCGAATTGGCGGTTGAATAGAATTTGCAGTGATTTCGTAAGTTAACATATTGATAGGCGTCAACAATTATAATGATGATTACTTGTCCATCCAAGATATCCGTCTCTTCTAGGATCTATTGCCGTTTACTCCACATAGTTTCACACGTCCAAATTTCTTACTCAGTGTGTAAAATTGAGATATAACGCATTTGCCATTATAGCCGTTCTTCAAAGTATTCATATACAAGTATACTTCTGTATGTATTCAAATTCACAGTTAAGCCTGACAGCAACGGTTTCTACAAACAGACGATAAAGCAAGCTTACCCTTCTCAGGAGCAGCTGGACCCAGAAAAGGTTTCTAAAAATATTGCCTGACAATGTATGAAACTAAACCGAATAGATAGAATTCATTCCCATTAACGAGAACTGAATAACCTCATATTTGATACAAGGACATTGAATTGATAACAAGTTCAACAAACCATATTTCTAAAGATTGAGGTGTCATTTCCCCAAACCTCAAATCGACATGAATTTTCAAATTTTGAAATAAGGTAATGTACTACCTGCCAGACCCTGACCCATATATGTTGCTCTAGTCATGCTAGTCTTGTACCCTTTTCTCAAAAGTAAAGATAATTGCAGGGCCATGAACATATCCGTTCCTTGTCGTTTTCGTTAATACCTGTAGTTTGAAAACAAATCACGGAGTCACACAGTTGCAACCACACATCTGATGACCAACTTTTTGAGAACAAATGTAACCGGATAAACAAGGAGGGGCGTGACGCCCTGGTTCCCCGGGCTTCGTCTGTGACTCTTCAAATTACTTTTTGTGTTAAAGTGAAACATTAAACTCAAATTTCCGTTACAAAAATCTGAAATGAATGTAGTCGTGAAATAAAATATTTATATCATAATGGCCAATAAGGTTAGTTCATTGATTTACAGAATTGTGGCAGTGCTTAAGGGATTGTGTGCTTCACAATATGTACTCCATTGATGAGTTAAACATCCCAGCAAGCTTAGTCGAGGTTTAAACCTCCGTTATAGACTGTGTACTACGATCAGCACAGGACTTGTTAAGATAACGATAAATTCTGTAATCAATTATGTGAACACTATTTGCTGAAAATTGATCAATGTTAAAGGAAATTAGTTAAACATAACTTTTTATATATTACAGTGATATATAAATTCAAAAATATTTTGTCGATTTCAGAATTACAAAATGGACGATAAAGAAAAGGGTCTCATGTTCCTTTTTAACATGACTAAAGACAGGAAGGGATCAGATGTCGACGTTCGAAATATTCAACACGTGTTCACGGAAATAGGATATGAGATCGAAACCCATTCGGATTTGACAGCTGAGGTAAGAGCATGTTTTTTAGTAATCTAATGGCCTTTTATTGTTAATAATATAACTTAGCAACGTGAAACAGAAACAACTTAAAATCTTATTTAGCCTCAAATTTGTTTTGTCATAAAATTGGATTTTCTATCCGAACCATAGTTCTCCATCCCCACATGCAAACAATAATGCGATTGGAATTGAAAATGTGTCAAGCAGTTGATCACTTTTCTCCCCCAAAGTTGGAATACTAACCTCTCGTCATTAAATGATTGTGACAATTAGATGTATTACTGATATATAGAGATGTTGTCATTTCACAACTTAATCGATCAATAAAAATTGCTCAATAAAGATTCATGAATAAACCTCTGTGAGGATATAATATAATCGTATTTCTCCTAAGCAGAGATGAATCATAAGGATCAAATAATATGATATTACGACAAAATAAATGTTAATATGAATTTGCATACAGTTTTAGAAACTAGGAGAACCAATCCCGACTAGCACTTGTGCTAACTTTTGGTTCTCCCTTTAACAACATTTTAAGTTTTTAAGTTTAGAAATATCCTTTATTTGAATCACTTATACGTTATTGGAACTCTGTGAATTTCAATTCCAGCCACAAATCTCTACGTATTATTAAGTTATAGCTAATTCACAGGTTTTGATATGACATGATATATGATTAACTTAATTTGTATGGTTCAACTATGGATATTTTCTTCTTTTTTTTAACCCATGTACATGGATATGTATACGACATGTTATTTTTGTTACCCACTTGAATACATTTTGTAACATTGTGTTATGTTGTTAACAAATTCAAATTCAAATTCAAAATATCAAGAATAAATCAAATTATCACATAAAATTCATAAAAGGAGGAGAGAAATGTTGATTCGAATTAAATTGAATTGAAATTGTTATTTCAACTTCAGGGGCAATAATGTATACATTTATTCAAAGTAATAAATAGTTTGCCTAATTCTACATACATCGTTGAAATTTGAGTTCTAGGTAACTTCAATTTGAGAGAAAATAATCTTTACTTATGAAGGTAGACGGGTATATCACCTTAAACCAACAAGTTAGGTTACTTCTTGCTTAAACGAAACAAAATTCCCTTTATACAATAATGTAATTGGATGTTAAAAGGGAACCCAAACCTTTATACTAAGTTACTTTTTTGTAAAGTATAAGATATTTGAATAAAATCAGTGAAAATTTGAACGAAATCGGGCAAGAAATAAGTTAAAGCTTTTTTTAAATGACTAATCACTAGAGGGCGATATTCAATTTGATGACATCATTTGCGGACAACTCTCCATTCCTTTTGTACATCAAATTTCATGTTGTTCCTTCCTTCTTGTTATTGCGATAATCTACTTCCCGGAAAGCAAGGTACAGAATGAAAAATGATATTCTACTTCACATGTTAAGAAGCCGGATCAAGAACACAAATAAATACGAAGAAATCGAAAGAATTGTGAAATTTGATATACAAAAGGCATGGAGAGTTGTCCACAAATGATGTCATAAAATTAAATATCGCCCTCTAGTAACTAGTCATGTCAAAAAGCTTTAACTTCCTTATTCCTTGTCCGATTTTGTTCAAATTTTCACTGATTGTATTCAAATATCTTAAACTTTACAATAAAAGTAACTGAGTATGAAGGGTTTTGGTTCCCTTTAAAATAAATCTAAACTTCAAATTTAATCTAAACTTCAATGACTATTAAACGCTTTGTTTTCGTAAATGGTTATGCAGGACCTTCAAGACAAGCTAGAGACGTTCGCGGGTTATGCTCGCCATCACTACATGCCCTCTGCAGTGTTCGTGATCATGGGAAACGGCTCCTCGACAGGCATTCATTGCACTGATGAACCGGTTACTTATAAGTTTATCGAGAATAAGGTTTCTAGGATGAAGTACATGAAAGGAAAACCGAAGATGATTTTCTTCCAGGGTAACCGTGAAAGTAAGTGTCTACACTGTGAATAGGTTGGGCAATATATTTCCCACACTTTGCCCAACGTTGTGCCAATTGTCAATTCAACCATCTATTGGGCAATATTTTGCCTAGTGGTATTGGTAAACGTAAGTACCCTACTTCACACGTCTATAATTGTTTCGTATTTTGTCCAAAATGTGGGCAAACATATGACCCTTCAACTGCACGACTAAGGTAGCCTACTGGTTGGGAAAATCTTGACCTCCTGTCGGGCAAAATACGAAACAATTATGCATGTACTTAAGTTTATCAATACCACTGGCCAGAATATTACCCAATAGATGGTTGGGTTGGCTATTGGCACAACGTTGGGCAGAGTGATGGAAAATATTGCCCAACCTTTTCACAGTGTATGTCTTTAACTTTATATAAATGTCCCATGCTCCCCTACCCCCTTCCCTCTCTCAGAAGGTGTCAATATTTATCGAATGATGCGATCATGGTATTTGTTCATCACTGTGTTTCTATTATAGGTGCTTCATTCCCGGGTCTTTCAATTCTCTCTTCTCCAGCAATTTTCCGAATTTTCTAACCAAACTACTCATCTTCTTCTCCTTTGCTTCCTCGAGCCCTCTTTCCCTTGATTTTCCTGTCATTTGCAAGGGTTTCCAAGTGTTCTTCCTGTATCAAGCGTCCCATAAATCTCATCTTCCGAATCCGTACGTCACATATTCGTTTTGTTCAAAAGGCTCACTCACTTGTTTTCATTTTCTTTAGGCTTATACAGATTGTCGCTAATATTCAGGGATCCATTTTTAATTGACCACAATATTTTCTTTTTCTATTAAACGGGAAAAATGAATGGCAACTGCGCGCAACAGAGAAGCTATAAAATACATAAATTATACTTGTGACAATTTACGTCATCATAACAACAACAAAAAGGCTGTGATTTTCCCACGTCTAATCTAAACAAGCCTTTAGCGTTTGAAAAGAAAGTGTGTAGCTTATGGTCCCGCCATCATACTTGAATCACCATTCAAATAAATGCACACATCCGTGGTTTTTCCACCATAATATTTTTCCTTACCATGTCATTATACCTATGCAGAAGCAAAGGAAGAAACTGAAGCTGACATCGACATGGAAATATCAGACGCATCCGACCTTCTCGTTGTCCATTCTACAACATCGGGTAAGAAGTTTGATAATAATATAGATTGTAAAATTAATAATGATAATGATATTATTGTTTTATTATTACATAATGTTCATTAGAAGTTTTCAATGGTAATTTGTAGACAGACAATGGTGCGCTTAGAACAACCGTATTTAGCGCCTAATAAATGGTGAGTGTTATTATCATTACTATCAATAATAATTATAATACTAATAATAATAGTAATATTTGAATTCAGGGTTTGAATACCATGCAACTACGATGTATTTTAGCGGTTCATATATCTTGTATTTATTACACAAGTCTTTGGATTCAGGCTTTTCCGCAAACAATATATGTACATTCTCCACGCCCTGGAACTTGGAGAGCATTCCATCCAGGTGCAATGATACCGGCGCTATATAAATATCCATATTATTATTATTATTATTATTATTATTATAGACGCTCACTGTACTTAGATAACTTCAAACATTTTACCAGGAATTCTCTTACATCTTCCTGATTGTACCATCCTACTGTGTTCCCATTTCAGACCTGGGTGGGGGTGGAGATTTAATTAATGTCTTGCCAAAGGACGTTAGCAACGGGATGGGATTTGAATCCTCAACCCTTGGGTTGAGAGTGAAGTGAACGAACCACTACCCCTCGACTCCTCCTTTATTTAAGTTACATTTTAAATGAAGAGTCATCTACCACTATTGTAGAATCCTTTCTAATACATAGCGGGAAGTTATTTCTCTTGATTCCAGTTCATTATAAGGCTTGTTTGATTTTTACTCCATTTTGTCTTTAGTTTCATTACACAAAAAGTTTCTTCAATAAAACAAAAAAGATAAAGGATGTATTTCGATCAGCCACGTGATTCCTAAGTTTAGGGCTTCTGTAAATGCGCCTTATCTGAACATGCAGGATAATAACAGCTAACGTTTCCTAACGATTTTCGCAGGAAACGTTCCAGATAGAAGCGTAATCCGTGGTTCAAGGTTCATTCAGATGCTATGTAAGGAACTCCTTAAGAATGCCCATGTCAGTGACTTGTCTACCATGTTAGAGCAGGTAAGTTTCTTTAAAGCAGTAGAGTATATAAATTATGGACTATTAAGTTTGTTTAAAAAACTCACGCACACACGACAACACGCCCACATGCATGCAACCGCCAATGCGAACAACGTAAACACTTTAACATCTTAACTCTTTGGATAAGTGAGGAACAATGTTGACTTTCTGTTACACACCAACTAGTATTTGCCCAGCCCTGCTGACAGAGGGCGTTTACATGTGTCATCATGTGTTATAGCGATATAGCGAAAGGGGACATGACATGTCATTTAATGCAAATTTCTTTTTTAGTTTTTCTCCATCTTTCCAATAACATTATTAATCCTCTGGCTGGTCCAGTATTAGTGACAATCCGCTATTTCAGTTCTGGACGAAAATCAACTTTGGATTTGTCTGAATTATGTTACTATTAAAATCAATTAATGTATATATTATTATGATAGTTTCGTACAATTTGATGACTTCGATGTATTTAATATTAGACCTATCTGCACTTATCCTCTCCTTTCATAATGCACCGACTCTATTTTCTTTCTACAGGTAACACGAAAAGTCGGGAAGAAAACCTTCAACCATAAATATGATAAAACTCCAGAAGTTATTAAACAAGGGATCTCGAAGAAGATATATTTTCTTCCTAAATACCCCCCAGAAGAGACTGAATAGTCCAGCAGAATGGTGCTGAATATGGTAGGAATTGTGCACTTTAAAAAATGTTATGTTGATAATAGCATGACATTTGGTATGGAGATAACGACGTTAATGCTGAATAAAACTTGCCATTGTTTTGTTTGTGCCCATTCTTTTTTTAAATACGGTGCCGCATTATACGTTTCTTCGTAACCAATTATATGAAATAATATTATAGATCTACCTTGTTTAAAATGCACGCAAGTTCTTTAGGTGCCCATTATAATGATATCAATATTGTGTGAATATGAAAATTAATGAAATCACTGAATCGCTGGCAACGAGTTAGAAGTTTTTAATTATTGTAAGTCAAAATTGAAGTATTTTAAATGAATTAAAGATGTGAAAATGGAGATCTAAATAACTCCCCACACCCCGGAAAAATTAAATTTAAATAAGAGAAATGTCCAAAATATATGAATGTGCAAAAAGGATTTATTTACCTTTTATTTAATTCAATTATTGGTAGGGCACAATTTGAAGTGTTAAACGGGCTTTTGCATAGCACAATTTATGCGTTTTGGCATTGAAAAATCTAATGTGGTAGGGAAGAGTTTATATGCTGAAGGCTGTATTATTTCTTATTCTTTATTAATTGCTTTTGATATTGTTATGCACTTTATTGGAATCTTAAAATCTTACGATGTTAAGGCTATACCTTCGAGTCATTGTCTTTTCTTTAAACATAGCCATGGGCGTGAACAAGATGAAAATGTTGTGTTAAAACATTTGATTATTATATGCTTTGGAATGAAAGCAAGAAAAAAGGAAGATTTGTATATGCTTTATCATTATATTCATGTATTTCGTTCATGTTAAGTTCTACAATGATAAATGAAAGTTGTTAACATATTATACACTGACCTGTTTTGTATTCTAAAACGTTTGGCATACCAAATTATATCTTTATACTACGGTATAAGCATAAATAATCTCTGAAAACTTGTAAATGCAAATAGTCACATCTTAAATAAAACCGACGGCCATTTTTAATTTGACAGCCGTCTTCAAAAATAATGTACCATTCTGTAATTTCATATAAAACTTACCTATCTTCCAAACAATTATGTATATTTAAGCCGACGTGAACCTGACTTTGTTGAGAATCTTAATGAGTAACAAATGGAATTAATGAGAATTGACATTGTGTGGATTAATATATCAAAACTAAACTCAAAAGTAAACTTGAATTGATCAACAAGGAATGCTTAATACCCGGTGTTGGCCTTCAATTTATGGGCACGACGGATTGCACTGAATCAATAATTCAGGGACAAAACTTTATATGCATGCCATATGTAATGCTTTAATTAAATAAGTGCATAGTAATACTACTTAATCATTTCGCCTGACTCGACTCTGCACACAGAGTTGAACATCAAAGGTTGCTGCACCAACATTTGTTGTTATTTTATCAATAATCTGTTAAATATAACCATGACACTTTAATACTGTAAAGCTTTGTACAGATAAAGTAGCAAAAAGTAATTAGAAATGGAACACGTTATTTGTGTTTTTACAGTTTAATTTGGTTCTCCTTTTGTCAAACGATGCACATGAGAGACAGTCCATCTATGATCTCCTGTGGATTCAATTGTAAATAGCTTTAAGTAATGCTAAAACACGAATATAGCCATACATGTATATACACTGCCTTTATAAGCTAAGGCCATTCCACACCGACCATTCATTTTTGTTTGATTTTTTAAATGAGAAAGAGACAAAAAATTATAAAAAGATAGCAACTACTTCCGAAAATTCAACCATAGATAATTTCAGTATCCTTATGAGGCACCTTTTTAAAAGCGCGAAAAAGACAATGACGTATTACGGAATCTGGAATATGTTTTCTATGGGATGTACAGTAGGGTATTGACATTGCAACTAAGTTGATTATCTTTTAAATAGTTGCGACCGTATTTACAGCTGCTTAGTTTTGATGACTTCTTATTACTCGTTCTTAAAATGTATTATCAGTTATGAATAAATGTGTATTTTTATTGTTATTTAAGAGTTCACATTCAACTGCTATACTAGATTACATGTATTAATTTTGCATATTATCCAGTAATTTATTATCCTGTCCTATTTTTGTTTGTAAATATGTATATAACAATTTTGATATACCTAATAATGTCTTTCTTAATCTGATACATACCGAAATATGCTAATAGTTACCTTTCATCCGATTAAAAAAAATAACAATTACCGTCTATATTATAATGTTATATTAAGATATTATAAATATGCAGCAACGTTTCCTTAAACGAAAAAGCAAAACAAAACAAACCATTCATTCATTCATTACAAGGATACCAAATACTTTGCATATACGTTTATACATGTTCGTACTTATTATTTGCTGCTGTTTGATATGATTTTATGTTCATGATTTAGTTATTATTATTATTATTATTTGTTTCTTTTTTCTTTTGTTAACTATTGCTTCTTATTTTGTTTAACAAGGCCTCATGAAAGACTACCATTATTGGTGATAATGAGCCACCCTATCAAAATATAAGAAATAAATTAATTTATTAATTCTTTAAAGGCCTCGTTTAACAATGTTAAATCTGAAATGCACGGTCCTACGCCATACCTGTGTATGTTATATGGTGTACTATTGAAGCCCTAACAAAACCGCGCTTGAAAATGATCAAGAAGTGCCTCAAAAAAGTTTTAAAAATCGTTTTGCCCAGTAGACTGTAGTGTTAAGAAAACCGTTTGGCAAACGCAAAATTTGGTTTCGATTTCCAATCATAAATATCTTGATAATCAGACAGGCGATCGGCTTGTAAAAGTCATGGAGTTTCTGACTGACCTAAAGGTTTATGATTATCATTGCAACATGAGACTAATCCAGGATTTTGTTTTAGAATCTGAGACAAAGTTACCTGATCCCTTTATCTTCTATAGGGGAGCGACGCAATATAACGAACTACCAGAATACATCCGAAATGTAACTACATTGAGATCCTTCCATACCCTAATAACTAACAATTTTTCTTAACACACTTCCTAAAATTCAAATGATTTTTGCATAACCTTTCGTGTGTGTGTGTGTGTGTGTTTGTGGGTGTGTGGGTGTGTACGCGTATGATATTATTTTAGAATTTTTTGTTACTTTGGTATTTTAAAACAACTTGTATTTATGTTTTGTTTCTGTTTTGCTATATGTCGCTTTTATGTTCATATTGTAGTGTAAGGGCCCCAAGGAAGAACAGTAGTGTTCTATAAACACTGCTGAATTGGGCTTTCCACCGACTTTTGTCTATGTACATGTATACATATTTCATTTTGTATATTTTACTATGTATAATATTTGTATCTGATTTTGGAAATAAAAACAACAACAACAACAACAATTCAGAGAAATCTGACCAAAACAAATTGGAGGCAAAACAAAGCTATATATTTCACATAACGGAAGTTATATCGGGGTCTGCTACTTTGAAAGTTGACAATCGTATAACTTTGATAGTATCTTACATAATTATGAATATGGCTTTTCTAGTTTAAGCATACATGAACGTAATAAGGAATTCCATAAAATGTTGTAATCGCCACTTTTACGTTCAAGTTTATAGTTGTTTGGAAAGCTAAAAGTCTGCAGGAATACACTTTAATTTGACACTTTACTACACTTTACATTCCTTAAGCCTTGAGCAGAGCCTAGCTATGTCAGTCTCTGGTTGTGTCATGGGGGCTCTAATCATGGGCCTGCTGGTCCATGTTCTAATATTTATATCGAAGGATTGCACGCTTCGCGATAAGGCTTTGTTTGTAATCCGTTACTCGTATATCGCATAGATTACTACATTCGTCAAAATTATTAAATTGATTCCAGCGCTAGATATACTGCAAATACTTTTGTCAATTCAAGAAACAACCGAACTGTTAACAAAGGAAGAAAACAAAATCTGTATATACTGCTCTATCATATTCCGATTGCTAGTATACTCTTGTGCAAGAGACTTCTGTGAAACTCATCTAACGCTTATTCCCATCCCTATTCCATGTCGATATTTATACTGTGTTAAGACTTTGAATGTTAATTTTTTATTTTTTTAGTTGTCGTTTATATGTTCTAATCTATACAAGGATTTACAGAACATTCTTTCCTATCAGTAATCTCTGTAATTGAGGATGTATACTTTAATATTACTTAAAGATTATACAAAATTTTGGGAAATTTTGAAAAATGCCTGAATAGTGATTCTTTACAATTTTGATATATTTGGATGCCCCTGTGGATGAGATTTTAGCCCTTAAAACACTTGTGCTTTCTAGAAACTTGAATATAAAATAGCGCCTACGGCCATACAATAGTAGCTGCGACCATATATAACATAAAGAGCTTATTATTTACAATATCATCACTTCAGAGTCGATTTCAACCGCGACAACGATCACTGAATATTATAGGATCGCATATGCTTCCAATATTTTCATTTGAACCAAATTCATGACCCCATATCAAAACTTTGTATTACATTTAAAGAAATGTCTGTAAAATGTACTATTATGCTTCGTTAATTTTAAAAAGTATTATGAATAAAAGCAACCTGTCAAGCAATCATTCTGATAATTGTTTTTCTCTCGTGTTTATGGAAAAGGCGCTATTATTACAATTCCAGCCATTATTATCATTATTATTACACAAACATGACAAAGCAACCGCCCCTTGCCCAACATGTAGTTGTGTAATACATTTTATGATAATTTGCTAATATAATATTATAATCAAGGGGAAAAGTTCGATATAAGCATGATAAATGGCGATATTATCTAGGCTTCTTAACTATACATGAAAAGTGGAGTTTTAGAATATTTTGTATCTATTTGTTGTCGTAGCTTTTACATTTCGATTTGAACATTAATTAATCATACCCATTCCAAGATTTTGTAATTTTTAAAGACTTTTAAGAAACTGATTTGTCCCGATGTATGTTTACTGAGAATTTGGCAAATTAAAGATTAAAAGTTCAAGCGGTCCACCTTTTATTCTTGAGTTACAAAAAACACAAACTAATAACATTTATAAGGTGCAAGAATAATTCAGTTGTTAACAATATATATCGTTGTTATCCATGTCAATTAAGTTGAATGACTGCAATATTAATGAAAATTTCCTTATTAAACCCCGTCCATAATTCAAAGAATTCATATCAAATAACAGGAAAGATTGTCCACTATAAACACTTGTAACCCTAATGGTGTACCAAAATATTGATTTAATCTAAAAACATCGCAAGATCGCAGTAGTATCGATGGATGGGAGATGCGAAGATTGTTCCTTCTTGCATATGTTTTTTTCCTCACTTCTGATCCACTGGTCTGGGTACAAATCCTACAAGAAAATGGGTTGTGATTAAAATACAGAATCATAATTAGTGTAGAACTTCAAAACGCAATTTCATAGTGTGATATAATGTTGCTTGACATTTTTTAGAGGTAGAATATCAGGATGATGATTTGTAATGGATGTCCAAATCTATCTTTTCTCATCAGCAGTAGGAATCTCCGCCCCCTCCCTCTCCCCCTCATACAAACACACACACACATACACACTGCCACTTAGGCGAGGCGTCAAAAATAAATATACCAGCCAGCGGCAGCTAACTGCACTTGTGCGTCCTGGCTGCATTTTTTAAATTAGCTCAGCCGGCTACCGCTGGCGGTAGGAAATGGCATTCAAAAGCATGCGCCGGCTGCCGCCTTTCGAATGGAAACCGAGCCTCAGATCCCAGCCTGGCGCAAGCCGGCTGGGTTAATAAGTGAAATATAATTGCCGCAGCCAGGCTTCGGCCGTAATTGCAGCCTCGATGCGCCAATACGTAAGGCGGCAGCCTGCTGGTATCGATATTTTTGACGCCTCGCCTTAATTGTATTGTCCCGTGTTATACCAAAATTCATATCCAACTCTGGGTTTAGGTTTTTGTTCAAAATGGGGTTTAAGAAATGAATTCAGTCTCAGGTACACGTTTCCCTTTTGGTAAAAGTGAATTTAGATCACGATTTAGGTATGCAACTTGATATTAAAACCAATATCGCATGATAATCCAAATTATCTAACGCCACATTAATCATGTCCAATTGTCCATGTCCTTCATCTTCAGTAGTCTTACCTGTCATGATCTCGTGTGCAAAGTCATCATATCCAGCTCTTAAGAGTCGATCACTCAACTCCCTGCGTTTGTCTTGCTTGAGTGGGTTTTTCCTTAATTTTTCTTCCCAGGCTTCAAAGATGGATGAGAGCGAAGATGTCTTCTTCACACCAAGTACCTCGGCAATACGGCATGAGATGTCATTTTGGATAATATCCCTTTTCCGCATCCGGGTGATTTCTTCATTCTCCTTCTCCTGGCGATCGCCTTAAAATAAATTGCAATCGTTCCGTCATCTTTTCGATTAAAATCTCAATCTGACGAAATTGTGCTTGCCGTCTTATGAACTTAGTACTGTATATGAGATAAGTGTTTGAAATATCTTTGTGGCGTCCTGCAAATACGCGAAAAGGTGACAGGTCTGACCAGGGCCCCCGTTCCATAAAACTTAACATTGATGTTAACTTTGCCATTAACTGTAACTTCCATGGGGGCCTTGATTTAATTCACTTTTGAGTGATGTTGCCAGGTTCTTAAAATGGTACTTAAAAGCAGCGGTAATTTTTATGCAAAGGGGCATAGGTAGTTGAAATGCAAAATAACAGGGTCACCGAGTGGGGAGTGTAAGGCTGGGGTCATTTCATCTCCTTTTCTACGTTGCTATTGACTCCCCTCTAACTATCATTCTCTCTCATTTCCAATTTATTTTTCTCTCTCAATTTGAAAAACATTCTGGGAATGAGACTATAATGTTTTATGCATGTATTATAATCATTTTAGAGGCAATATAGCAAGGTTATTGAAATTACACTTAAATTGATTTGAACAAAGTCCTTGCGATCTTTTTCAACCAATACTCGTAAACTAGACAAATTATGATAGTATTGTCACTCGAAATGGATTCTTTGTCTTTTGTAATTTTCCAATACTTTTTATTATTAACGCTCCAAAATAGTTGATATTTATATTCCTTTTATATTAAAGTGTTTTGTAGTTTAAGGGGTTTTAAACGCTATTATTTTTCTACACTAGTATACGAATGTCTTAGTAGGTCATAATTAAACACCCTCACAACTTGGCAGTACATTCTCACCCTTCTTAATTTCTGTTGATAATCCCTTGAAACCCGCTACACTCAGCTTCTCGTAGACGTCCTCAGGAAGCAAATCATTCTTCACTTGGTCCTCCAGGGTGATAAGAACCTGTATCACGAGGTCATCGTCAACGGATGGGAGAGGGGCGTTGATGATTTCAGCAACACGGCATGTCTCCCTGAACAGAATTTCCTCTCGTAGAGCCCTGATGACTTTCTCACTAGGAATTCCATTTTGCCTCGATTTTCCTGTAGAATTTATTAAAGATGTGGGGAATTGAACAAGGACTATTGTCGTCCCTCTTACCAGTTGGTAACAAATGGAATGTAAGTAACATTCTAGAAAAGCTGCTTCGTTCAGTCATCGGGTATGAAAAAGTATATCCTCGGTAATTGGCCGTATATATCCATATATTGGGAACAAAAAATAAAAATGGGCGAAATTCTCTCGAAATATGTCAACATGCAAAATTATGCGAAAACACTGTTTCAAAATGTTGCCCTCCTTCAGAAAATAATTCTTCATAATTGGCCAATAGAATTCTTAATATTTCTTTCTAACTACAATTGTGTTTCTTTCTAACTTGCAGGAATAAGTAGAAATTGCCATTTGATTTGGTATTGCTATTTTAAGACATTTGTTTACCTGACAGGACAGCCAAGGCCTTCTCTTTCCCAAGAACAGGAAGAACAGCATCGGCCAAGGCTGTTCTGGGATTGTAGGTTGGAGGATGGACCATAGATATCCAATGTTTGAGCATGCTAACAATGTCGTCATGGTCCGCGGCTATTCCCAGGCTTTGTCGCAATTCATCACGCTGGGAGGAGTTTGGTACTGGTCCATACCCCAAAGCGAACATGTCGGCTAGAGATATTGCATATCCTGCAGGATGAAATGTGTCATCATGATTTCGATTTAATAATTCGTATACTCGGTATGAATGTATTTCTGCTGTATTTCTTAATCATATCCCAAAGTTGATATTTCCGATCGTCAATAGTATAATTGATATAACACTAACCATGGAGTTACTCCATGCACTCACCCTTTCGCACACATATACACGCACACAACACAAGCATATGAACTCACGCACGCATGCTACATACACTGGCGTGAAGTTTGGTTAAATGATTTTCATCATGTTCTGAATAAAAGGGAATATGGAGAACAGTCCTTGTTAAAGGAAATTTCTATCACTGTATTATTCTAAAGTTACCTAAGAAATAACGCGAATGTTCACACCAAATGTTCCCTCTTTACCTTAATTTAACCTTCTCTTCATGTTCTGAATAAAAGGGAATATGGAGCACAGTCCTTGTTAAAGGAAATTTCTATCACTGTATTATTCTAAAGTAACCTAAGAAATAACGCGAATGTTCACACCAAATGTTCCCTCTTTACCTTAATTTAACCTTCTCTTTGCGCGTTTAAACGTTTACCAGCCACACAACTCACCGTACTTCAGCAACAATGCAAGATCTTTGTAGCCAGCTTTGGACAGTGAACTGCAAATTTTACTTCTGTCGATATTTATCTTGGTGCTATCCTTTGCTAAAAGAGCAAGTGTTCCATTAGAGAGCTGTTTAGGTGTGACATCTATCCTGTACTTGATTAGTTTCTGATCGGATATTCCAAGAGCTTTGGCGAACGGTTGGATGTCGGTCATGAGAAGACGAGTAGTAACGTCAAGTAGTTCAACCAAACATGCCTTGTCTTTCAGTTGGAAAGGCATCAGCACTGTTGAAAAAATAAATTAAAAAAAGAATATAACCCTAACCTCTATAATGTATTTATCTTTTCATTTCTTGCAAAATAAATATCGAGCTTTACAAATACCCATTAGGCGAGGCGTCAAAAATATCGATACCAGCAGGCTGCCGCCTCACGTATTGGCGCATCGAGGCTGCAATTACGGCCGAAGCCTGGCTGCGGCAATTATATTTCACTTATTAACCCAGCCGGCTTGCGCCAGGCTGGGATCTGAGGCTCGGTTTCCATTCGAAAGGCGGCAGCCGGCGCATGCTTTTGAATGCCATTTCCTACCGCCAGCGGTACCCGGCTGAGCTAATTTAAAAAATGCAGCCAGGACGCACAAGTGCAGTTAGCTGCCGCTGGCTGGTATATTTATTTTTGACGCCTCGCCTTATTATTATCATTAAAAGGGTGAATAAATTGTACTGTCTACTATCAAATGGTTGTATAAGTTCGAACCATATACCTTTACACTACTATTTAAATATAAATAATGCTTCCCAACAAATACCTTGAATTTTAAATGGCTTGTTCGTAATATACGAAAATATAAGTTGTTACAGGAAGATTACACCGATACAAAACTTCAGATTCTCTTAAAATGATGATATTACTACATTGATACCACAAAAACGAAAACAAAGCGAAACATTATCATTACCTTGAAGGCCGAATTCTTTCATGGCTTCATGTACCCTTTTCCGACAGCCTCCGTCAGGATTCTTCTCGAGCAAGCGCTTGACCCATTCTATCACCACCTTCTCCGGGTCCGAACCCTCACCCAACTGCTTTAGTTCGGAGTCTGAGAGATAGTTTGCTATTCGACGCATTTCCAGTTCAGAAATGCCACCATATTCTACATACATGTAAGAATAGAAATTACGTGAAAAGGGCATGAAAATGGGAGAACAATGCATCGAAAAATTATCATCATTTTATCGAGAGTCAAATTTACTCTATCATATCGGGACTGTATAGAGGTTTCCACTAGATATATGGTTTAAAGTCACCAATATGTTATACAAAATAACAGTGAGTTGTGTGAGCTCTAACCATTTTTAATAGGATTCGTGTACCTGTATTATGTTTACATTAGAATATAAGGGGTTTTGACATAGGCTGAAACGCCCATTGTTTGTTTGAAATAGTCTTCAACATATTTAAAGATCCGAAGTGGTATCAAAGTACAACCACTAGAACACGATGAAATTTTATTTTCGTTTTAGAAAGTTTTTTTGAAAAGTAAACGCTATCAAAATGCTACACCATTCTACATTTTCGTTGTATTTTTTCCTCTTTTTTTCAGGACGTTGAAAGCATGTATTTCAATAAATTAACATTTATAAGTAAAAATACCGTACAGTAATGCATTGTAAAATATAATTATATTTACCTCGTGATATTTCGTTTGAATTCTTTTCAGCCCGTTCTGCATTTGCCTCTGTTGAATTATAGAGGTGCGTTGCTCCAAAGTGACCTTTCAAAATCAATTCGGTTCAAATAAAACACATTCCAAAACAACAACCTTATTTTTTCTAATTAGCTGACATGTATTTTAGCTAAAAAAATGTTTCCATTGAAAGTAACAACTAAACAAATATGCAAGTGACGTCATGCTGTCTGTTGGTATTGTTAAAGCTTATAACATGAAGGGAGCTTTTCATGTCAGAAGGACTTGAAGCATAAAGCCATCATTTATTTTTAACTGCTGAATCAGGTAAGTTAACACTGAGGTAATTAAGGTTTCCTCGCCTAATTTCTTCCAGCAGCTACTCCCTTGTGATCTTCTATTAGTATCTTTGTACGATATAATTTGCCACATTTCAAAAATGAATGATTCTCGGATCAAGACAAAACAAAAGCAATTGAACGTGTCTGTTACCTTTCAAATCATCACGACAAACCTTTGTCACCGCGACATTAAGCCTGTGTCTCTTCTCAAAGTTGCTGCATTCCTCTTTACTTATCCAGTCAAGAATCATTCCCTGCGTGTCGAATACGGGTGCCTTGTCATTCTCCACAAGAATAGCATTAAGAGCCTCCTCGGGCGTTCCGATGGATTCAGCTAGCTTTTTACAGTGCTTGCTTTTCAGTCGCTGGGTGAATCCAAGAACTTCATACTCGCCGATTTCTTCCAGCAAACCTTCGGGTACTGCAAAGAAAACGATTTAAAGAGAAGGTTGAGTTCTAGGAAGAGGTGAAAAATAATTTGTGAGCATATTATGCAAGTGTGAAAGAACATCAGTTAAGACATCTTCCCTGAAAAGCATGGCTCTTCAAATGCCTTCATATTCTAAATATGCATGTAACATCGTAAAAATCGGGGCCCGGCTTTTTACGCCACGTGTTCGTGTAGTCCCATATACATCTTTCTGTGCAAGTGTTTGTAACTTTACCAAGACTTGGCCAAGTTTCTTATCATTTTGATGATTCCAGAACCTTGCAATACACACAAATTCTTATATGCTAGATGATCAACCTTTTCTGGTCGTTTCTTTCACAATGCAATCGCATGACCAGAACTCAACTTCATCTTTAAATACCGGACACCTCACAAGAAAAAACTAAGCATTAACGAGTATTACACGTAAAATTTAATTAACATTTTTGCAATAAAGGATGAAAAGACAACATCTTCAATTTCATTGCAATTATCTTCAATTGTATTTAATTCATAAATCACATGAGTGTATAAATGTGTATTATACGTAAGGAAGTGAGGGGTGGTGATGTAACACTCGAAAAAGCAGATGCTTGGGATTAGTTGGTTGATCCACATGATTGACAATAGTAGTGATGAGGCAAATTGAACTGAAAATGGTTAAATCATACGAAAATAATGATAAAGCTTTTCGAAATTTAAATTCAAATGCCTTTTCCAACACCATTTGAAATGTGCCAACATAACAAAGAGATATTACGTATTCCTATTTAAACTTCATTTCTACATAGTCAATAAAAAGGTGCTGAAATTACCCCTAACTAGTTTTTTCGAAGCTAAATGCGCTTGTGTTACATACAGTCAACAACTTAATTATGCATACCCTTACCAAGTTTGGTAATCTCTTAAGTGACGACTGTTAGAGAAAGAAATGATTTGTCCCGATTTAGGTTTTTGGAGAATGTGACATTATAAAGCTTACATTTAAAACTAATTTAACCAGTCCACGGTTCATTCTTGAGTTACAAATAACAAATCACAATGGGTATGAATGATTTAGTTGTAAACTGCATGATAGGGGCAAAGTATTGTCTGCATAATATTGCCCTTATAAAGCAATGCCATTTCGTGTTGCTCTAGAATGCATATCCACAATATTTCACATAAGTCCAGCAACAAAGTGAGTGAGATAATAGAGAGTATGTACGGGAACATGATCAAGTCATCACAATCGTGAACAAAGACAACTACAGTGGTTTGGGCACGTAGCTAGATGGAAGAATAGCTTGGCTAACACTATCGTGGAAGGAGGAACTGATGGAAGACAAAAGAGGGGTAGACCAACAAGGACAAGGACTGTAGCCAAAAACATGACGGGCATGTCATTTGAGCAGCTGACTAGAACAGCTGAAGACAGGAAGTTATAAAGACCTGCGTCTCAAGGTCCATTTCCTTGTCGCCACAACGGTCGGCCTCCGAGCTATGGGACAGAGATATATGATACATAATGTAAAATGTAAAAGAATTCCTACCGGTAAAGAAATCTCTGTCGATAGGGCAGCAGGAAGTTCTCTCCAGGGATAGGCTTAACAAGACCATTGGGTTATGTTGAGGCGGTCCCTTACACCATTGGATGAGGTCTCTTAAGGCTTCTGCGACGATGTCCTTCATTTTTCCTGCAACGCTTATTCTTTGTCCTGGTATCAGATCGCCTAAGAACTTATCTATCCTGTCAGGGTCTCCAACTTGCCACAAGATGTGTTTTAGTGTGTCTTCAGAAGGCTGTGAGTCCTTACGGTGTCTTTCATCTGAATAGATAGTGTATGTCAATATTGCTATATTTCCATTTTTCGTTAAATTTTCTTGTCGGATTACCACTCGTGTTTTGCAATAAGACTCAAATAAAAAAATAGGGGCTAAAACCAACGCACTACAAAATAAAAACATGGAACAAATTGTGATTAATTTTGCAAGGTGTGTCATAATCACAAGATAATTCTTAAAGCATATGTCAACTATAGAAATGTCATTAGCCATGAAGTAGGTCCACATGTTATTAAGAAATTCGTTCTAAACATAAAGAGTAGCCATTCAAGATCTATACGTCTTTTGCTCCTCTACATATACATACGTTTACCAGTCTTGGAGTCCATTGTCCATGGAATTTGTATTTAAATGTGAAACAAAAATGGTGATATAATGATGAATTATCAGTTTCTGGGGAAATAGAACATATTTAGATAAAAATCAAAGGGGAAAGCAGTAGCGTTGCGGCGTTGCGGCGTTGTGGCGTGTGCCTGTAATCCAGCTAAAAGTGGACGTTACAAACTGATTCAGCCGAGGACGTAGGTTTGAAACTGAGTCACGTCTTTCGGGTGGTGACGTTTAAAAGTCGGTCCCCAGACGTAAATAATCATATCTGATTGGTACACGTCTGCAAAAACCAATACACGCACACACACACACACACACACACACACACGTAGCGGTTCAAGAAGAATTTTGGGAAGGGGGGGTTTCGAGGTCTTGGCAAGGGCTTTGGGCTTCTAGCATTCATTTTCTACATGTACCTCGCGACTCTTTTTGTGGGGGGTGCTTGATTCCCCCTCCACCCACACCCCCCCCCCCTCCCCTCTACACTAGAACCGCTCGTGGGAAAAGTTGCGTACCATATATCTCCTTCCACGCTCCATCAACACTCGCGTTTGCTAGGGCTCGTTTAAGATCCATTGCTTGGCTGTCCTGTTTATGGTGATCCTTCCAATTACAGAAAAGTTCGTAACACTGCGCTGCATTCAGACCATTTTCTACATCACTGATGCCTAAATGGCGGATTGTGTCACGTATCTTTTCCAATCTATCATCGTTATCCTTGCCGAAAATCAGGAACCACAGCTCATAGAACGATATGTTTCCTGTGACAAAGAAAAAGTAATGCATGATTTTTGTTAACCCATTGCTTACTGGAACCTGGTGGTCCCTCGTTATGGGAATTATATAATTCAGTAGTCAACGGGTTAATGATTTGCTTATTCTAATCGGCTGTTATGCCATAATAGGCAAAAAATGACGCTGTATCATATTTTAGCAGGTCGCGTTGAAAAGAAGACCTACATGACAATATTTTGATTGTCATAGAATCTTTAAAGTAACCTAGGCAGAATACCACACTATAAGTTTTGTTTTGGTAAAGGTGCACTGTAGTGGGATTCGAACCTTGGATATCAATGTTGTTAGAAACAATGAACCACCACAGCACGATGTTATCTATGTCATAAGGAAACATGAATGTGTGTTTTACCTTCGATCGTTGTTGAAAGCCCAACATCACCCTTTTCCACGTCACCTGTTCGTGAATAACCAAAATTCAGACCATTTATTTCTTGTATACAGCATGAGTCACAAAAATGAAAGCCGAATTCCACCCTAATTATCTTTGCAATCATTGCATAAACATTTAATCAAAGATGCTTTTATTTACTTTAAACTGACATTTTAATTGTGAAATCCGGCCACGGAGAGCTAAATAAAAAGTAGCAATGACATTGATCTATATTAATCTATATTTATCTATATGTTATATTGACCTCTGAATAAAATCTTAAAATGAGTTATATGAAATTCGTGGTCACCGTAAGGTTTGGTTGAATAATCCTCATTCCAAATTGTTTTCAAACGCACAATATTAACGCCACTCCTGAACATAATCACGACCAATCATCGCGAACTTGGACAAATGCGATTATTGCCAGCTTTATAAAAAAATGACCATCGCTCAGTCATTCTTATTCTTCTTCTTCTTCAAGATAATCTGCCTCCTTCAATACTGAAGATTCTTGCAGATGCCGTATACTCGGCCTGATTGGGGTGTGCAGATGGACCATTACACCATGGACTCCATGGAAGAACAGAGCCATTAGGTTAATGGCTCTGAAATGGACTATCCAACTGTTTTATCATTCTATCATTGTTATATAAGTCTTTGATTTTGTTATATTGTGTTATTGTTTTTTATGATGATTTCGGAAATAAAACAAACAAACACCGGGGTTTCACCCTTCTCTTATACGAATAGTGCAATGGATTCTTAACGTACAATGGTGGTGACTCTCCTGTACACGGAGCCTCCATTTAACGTCCTATCCGAGGGACGGAGTGTTTTCCACTTGACATAACCTGCGTCTATGAACAAGGGAAGGGGCACGTTAACACACAACGCAGACTTCAGTCATCCGCCTGGATGGGAGTCGAACCCGGAATCTTTGGTTCGACAGGCGGACGCTTTACATTCTGAGCCAACTCACCTCCTTGAACATTTTTTATGAGCAATCAATCCAATCAAAGACGACATTACCAACAATCATTTCTGCAATTCACGTTTTAGCGTTGATTTCTTTCTCGTAGTATATCATCATTTTGCAACATTTCACTTATGGTTTTGGTGAATCACGAATCCCCTTATTTCGCACTTTCATTTTAACATACCTTGGGAAGTGTGACAGGATATAAATCTTAACTCAAAGTATGTACACTGTCGCTCATAAAGGTGGAATATTTTTGTTTTAACCCAATTTATGGAATTATTTTAAAAATAATTTGAAAATAATAGATCTAGATAAAAGTATACATTCTCATTGAATAATAATTTGACAATGTGTGTTTTGCGTGACTGCTAAAGCATATGTATGCTTCTATGCTTATCAAATAGGGGACCTACGCCCTTAAGTCATAAATGACAGTAATGAGGATTAATGCCCCACAAAAGGGCACTAATATAGCACATCGACACGGTTTTGATCCTGGGGCCTCACAGTTACGAGGCCATTGCTTTGTCACTGAACAATGACTGTACGCAGCGGGGGCTAGTGTAGGGGGCAGTTTCCATAAATTAAAAAACACACAAAAAATGCAATAATTTTTCAATAATTTATTGCATTTTACCCCGGTCCCCAACATAAACAAATTCTCTGTGTGCCCATGACTTGAGCCATGATACATGGCCATCCAGAGGATTTGTTTATGTTGGGGACCGGGGTAAAATGTAATAAATTATTGAACATTTATTGCATTTTCTGTTTTTTTATTTTTTTATTTATGGAAACTGCCCCCTACCCCAGCCCCCGCTGCGTACAGTCATGGTTCAGCGACAAAGCAATGGCCTCGTAACTGTGAGGCCCCAGGATCAAAACCGTGTCGATGTGCTATATTAGTGCCCTTTTGTGGGGCATCAATCCTCATTACTGTCATTTATGACTTAAGGGCGTAGGTCCCCTATTTGATAAGCATAGTAGCATACACATGCTTTAACAGTCACGCAAAACACACATTGTCAAATTATTATTCAATAAAATCTGAGAATGTATACTTTTATCTAGATCTATTATTTTTAAATTATTTTTAGAATAATTCCATAAATTGGGGTAAAACAAAAATACTCCACCTTTATGAGCGAAAGTGTAAATGTAATAAAAGGAAAAACAAAGTTTTGACAATTTGGCCCAAAATGGATTCGCCGGTTCATAGGAACACCGCCGAGTTGTTACACGTATTTTATACTACTGCACATAGTAAACTGGAGATAAACGCTAGAGATGAAACAATAACTTGATAGTTACTTTTCCTTGCAAGCTTTTTCCGTCGAAGTATAGCCACTAAAAACACCAGTACAGCCACAAACAGTACGAAGAGGGATGGGGGTGCCGCTAAAATTAGAAAAAGTTAAAAGAAATGGTTCATGTAGAACATTTGTTAATTTGGTCACTGTGTTTCCTTTTTCTTTTGAGTCAATAGGATGACAGAATGTTAACATATGATAATGAATACTAAGAAACCATAATTGAAAGAAAAATACATTCAAAGTATTCAGCGGAAAATACTAAAATACCAGATACCTTACCAATAAATGTATACAGACAAATATGGGAAATTAGGGATCAGTTTAGGTTAGCCGCTGTCTTCCTTGATATAAACTTTTACTTTAATTAAACCATTCAATGATCTCAACTTCAAATCAACTTAGGTTTATAAAGATATTATTAACACGAGGGAGTGTTTCTACTTTAATGAAATTATGATTAATTCAAAACAATAAATAACTAAAAATAGACCAACAAATAAATCATACCGATTTCAACAATGTGGACTTTTTTTTCTCTCTCTGAGGAAACAGTGGAATGTGATCTCGTCAGTATATCATCTTTTACATCAATAACGACTATTTTTGCGGTCCTATGCTCAAGAGTTCCTGGAATGTCGGTTGCCACACAGACGTAAGTCCATTCGCCCTCGTCAGCCTCAATGATGATCGATTTGTTCTTCGTTCCGTCATCATTGACCAGTTCGTTGGTTCTTGATGTAGCCACGTTTTGGAAATCGCGGAGGAAGAGGAGATCAACGTCGGGGAAGTAGTTCGTCACAGAACAGGTGATTTCGATGGGGATGTTGGAGGTGATGTTGCAGAAGTCGTTAGGGTTGACGAGCGCCATCTCTTGACATTCGTTGATGACAGGGTAAGGTTCATTCGGAGGTGCTAAGAGAGAGAGAGAGAGAGAGATTGAAAAAAGCTAACTGAGTTTATACGACACTGCTGACAACAAAGACAAATTAAGGTTTTAGGATTACAGGTGCTGTTGAGTTGGAAAGCATCATGTCCTGCTATCCGTTGATGACACCACTCAAATGTTCGAGGACAAGGCCATGATAGAATCCTATTGTAAACAAATTATCCAGAACTTTAGTGCAATGAGTGGATTGATAACTTGCTCCTAGCTGCTCCGCGATAATTTCCTACACTAGTCGATTTCTTAATTTCAACCCTGGACCTGATACTTTAATATACCAGCCATTTCGTATCAAGCCTACATGCTTACCAAATATCACAACGTCAGTGAAGTTATGAATCAGGATCCCCAGGTAGTTTGAAACTCGACATATGTATCTCCCTTGATCTCTTATCTTAGCTTTCTTGATTGTGAGAGAATAATCATCTCCCATCTTACATGCCCCGTCAGGAACACATGACCCTGTGAGGGGTTCCCCTTCAACCCACGTGATCAGGCTGGGCGAGGTCGTGGGGTCATCTCCTCTCTTCCAGTAGACCGCGATTGGCGTTCCATAGAACTGACATGTTAGAACAACCTCTGCATCCTTTTGAACAGTCTTGTGCAGGTCAGTGTAAACGACACCGTCTGGTACTTCTCCATTCGTTACTGCAGCAACAACAACAACAACAACAACAATGTTATTTATTTAGTCGTAGTCCCATCAGGGAGTAGAAATGGTTCACATTGTATGTTTATGAATCCGATTAGATGGGTAATAAAATATGCAAAGTGCTCGGAAACGGTATTTCATATCAAATGCTATACCGTTCCAAATGATGATTTATATTATTATATTATTATTATTATTATGATTATTATTAGTTTTATTATTAATATTATCAGTATTGTTATTATAATTATAATTGTTATAAGTATTATTATCATAGTATTTATTCAACGTATTTTTATTATTATTACTATTACCACTCAATCTTACATTTTAAAATCGCAGTGTACGTATTGCGACATATCACATGTGAACACTGCTCCCTTTGTCTATCTAGTAAGGTTAGTAAATATATTTATTGGAAATGTAAGAGGACTGAAGTTCTCGTTATATGGATGTACTAACCCACCAAACATAAAGTATTTTACAAAAAAACAGTAAGCTTGAATAAATCCTGAAATGATGAATGTAATACTTGTATTTTGAGTTGACGATGTTTGCAGTAGGCCCACTTATCAAAACAGGCCTTTATTGTATTTTGGGGAAATACCTAAAGACTCTGGCCCGAATTCACAAAGGAGGTTTGTCGACAAACCTTGGTCTGAGCTCAAACCTTGCTTTGTGAATTTGGGCCTATATGTATGGTAAGTACTTTTTGTTGAATAAAAAAAGTGTTGCTATATTTCATAGCGTTGAATTCTTATATTGTATTATAAATTATTAACTTCTTTTTTTTTGGGGGGGGGGGTCACATCCATGAGCTGTCTAAGTGATTGAGATATGCTCAGCAAAATATAGTTTAAGTTCTTCTAAATCCAGAAACTGGTAATGTCTGTTGGTACAAAATACACAATATATTGCCATTTAATGCAACCAGTATTTATGAACATAGCCTCAAACTAAGTCCTTTTGATAGACATTAATCTACAGTTGCCTCTCTCCATCCAGGTAGGGTAAACGAATGCCTTGCTGGAAAAAAATTACTTGAAATGCTACAGCGCCATAAAGGCAGCCATGCTAAAGGTTGAGTAGTAGTTGTAAAGCGCCAGGAGTTCCAAGACTGGCATATGAGAGTTATACGAGAACCCAGTATTATTTCTATCATTATTACCATAACAATTTAATTAATATCCCTACAGTAATGACTATGCAGTAGTCACATAAATCATTCAAACTATCAATGACATAAATATACATGGATAACTTTTCACTTGCAGTTCCAATAATTTCTACAACACATTCAACTATAGTGCCTCTTCGATATAAAAAAAAATACCGAAATTGGAAACGACTTCCTTGATGCTGGCTGTGGTTTCCTATCTCACTAGCCTTTAAACAAGGCCACATGCCTGATAGACGCCGAGCGACTAAAAAGAGACTAATCGCGAGAACCTGAATGAACGCCAGTGCGAATTGTCCAGACCTGTGACATTCGTCACTCGGTCGCGCGTTCACCCGGGGTATCTAGACTCATCTCAGCCGCTTAGCCAGAGTAACGAGGCCTTGTCAAAAGGCTACTATCTCACTTGAACCGGATAGATCATTAGCGGGTCAGGGGGGGGGGGGTACAAGGGGTGTAACTTGGGGGGTAACATAAAAGATAGATGGTAGAGAGAGAGAGGTAGAAGAGGTCTGAAGGCCCCTTACCTTCCATTATTTTTCTTCTCTTCTGTTTTTGTTCTGGCTTGTCACACAATTTTCGGTCGTGTCCCCCCCCCCCCCCCCCGCTAGAGAATACTAGATCCGTCATTTCAAATGACACATACAATTAAATAATGTCTCATAAAGGCGAGTTTCCAGTGAAGACTTGGTATCAAATTATAATATAAAATTAACGATTAGCATGTTAGTAACTTACCCGATTCGGTCCACAGGATTATAAGAATGACGCCGACGAAAACCAATTGTATGCTGCTCGTCGCCATAGTAGAATTATTCACAGCTAATATTAGACTGAAGAAACTAAAGTTCTAGTGTCTAAGTGCTGTGGTACACTTATGTCATATAAACCACAAGTTAATAACTATATGCTTGTTTCAATAGAGCTAAACAATGTCTGTCATGTGACAAATATCACATGCGTGAGATCAATACAGGAAGTACTACATGTAGTTTTTGTCGACAAACACTTTCGCTTTTGGTTATATCGGATGCAATGGCATTGCTAGTTTACAATATAATGGGTCGCCATGGAGGCATGTGAAAGAACGAATCTCTCTCTCTTTATCTCTCTCTCTCTCTCTCTGTCCCTCTTTCTTTCTCTTGTCATTTTTTGTATTCTCCCCAAACTTTAGCACATGATGTTTCGTGATCAAATTTTCATGCTGCTAAATGAAAGGACATGAACGTCATTTGAAATTACCAGGGTCTATTGTAATATTTATTGCATTAAGAGGAATATTCGTTCTGCCAGGATCCATTTTCAACAAGCCAAAAAATAATTAGCTCTACTTTATTTGAAATTCTCTTTTGGATGGATTATGAGCATTGGGTCCTTAAACTCGTATTCTAGGCCTGAGGTGATAATAGGTTTATTGTACATTTTGAATTAGGCTAAAATTATTTATTCGGAAACCACTTCATGTCGTTCCTATAATGGCCCTCTGCTTTTAACTCTATTGGGAGGTGAAATAATAAGTTAAAGACTAAATCATATCACTATTGTCTACTTGTCAATATTGCTTAGCGATTAATGCTGCTCGATCAATGTTGATGAGTTGGCGCCCTCTTTCGACTACATAACTGTGCCGGTTCATAGATATGATTTGTAGATAAGCACATAAAGTTGAGGACCCACTGAGACAAAATAATTACAAAGTTAAATATGAAGCGTGTGAATTGTATAATTCGTTCATCAACCAACGGTGTGTTTTACGGTACGCTGTAGGAAGTATTCTTCTGAAAGTGTTTAACAAAAACTACATACCTTTGTCATTGTGGCTTATTGACTTATTGACCATATTATCATATCCATATTGTTATGATGTACTTTGTGACGGAAATATAATAAATGTGAACAGATAAGTTTGTCCATGCATGGGCAAAAGAGAGGGAAATGCCAACAACTGAACACAACACAAAAATTAAGTTCCCTCATGGGCAACTCCTCTTGATTTATGAACCACAAGACTGTCTTTTCTCTAGTGTAACATATTGTCAGGTTTAATAGTAATATTGCACGCAATCGATGCCATGAAATTTGATGTGTTTTTAAGAATCTAAAATGAATGGGTCGATTCGTTGTTTTAGTTTGTTTTGTTTCGTTCTGATATTGATGTTCAAAGAGATCGATCTTTGGGGAATTAATACACACGACAAAACAAAACAAAATACAAATCCTTTTTGAATGGATTGGACGCAGTGTTAGTTAAAGGCCTCGGAGTGACCGAAGTGCTAACGTCATATTCTGAGAGACAGTCAAATTCATGAATGTCGCTGCTATGTGTACGCATTGGGCCGGTTGATGATCTCCAGGCACCTTGTTGACCTTTAAAAAAAAATACTATTGAAAGCCCCACCTCACCACTTATAGCTACTTGCGCCCTCTATATATATCCAACAATGCCTAATCGGTGACCATTGGTCCCCATATGGTCCCCTTTTTATTATGTTAATTGAGAGCTGATTTGATGTCAGTGACCATGCAGGGAATTCTAATCCCTCCTCGCCAAACTAGTGCAGATAGGATTTAATATACAATGTCAGGAGATCACTTTTACAAGGTTTTGGAACCTCCTTCTCAAGAAATCGGTAGTAATGACACTTTTTCCAATAATATTGGAGTCTTGGTTATGGTTTCCTTTAAGTTTTGCTCAGTCAATCAGGGAATGCTGGCTTCGAGGTCAGCAGAGTGTCAGTAGATCATTAACCAGTCCAATACATACTGTGTTATGAATATGACTCTCATCGGGGAGGTAGAGAGGGCGTAAGAAAGTGGAGAAGACAGTGGAAGAGATGGAGAAAGGCGAGACAGAGTGAGGAACACATAGAGGGATTGGATCAGAGAGAAGAAAAAACACTTTGAGCGAGAAGGAGAGAGAGACTTTTTTCATTTTTATATCCAAGCCAAATTATATAGGTATAGTATCATCTTATGTTAATAAAGTTATTAAAAATTCAATAACGCAGTCACATAGATGCTTTTTACCTTTAAACAAATACAATAAAGATACTAATTAGATCTGTCTATATAAACAAAAATTTGTTGGATCTGAGAAAAATCGGTGTTGACGGCTCATTAGCATAAATCGGTGAAACTCAAACATTTTCTACACACGTACAGTGGGCAGCCCTTAAACGGAACCCATCGTCTTCAAGTATGCCAAATGAAATCAAAACTGCTTGTCCTTGTTTTATCAGTTATTAGGAGAAGGTCGAGTTCATATGTAAAGATGAACAATAATTTGTGAGCTTCTATCAGTGTTTTCGGATCAGTTAGGAAGTATATCATGATTATAACGCCCTCTAAAAATGTTTGCTCTTCAATTGCCCTCATATTCGAGATATTGCGAGAAATGACAATTAAGCTTCTATTCCATAAGTGTGTGTAGTCCCACATAACTATATCCGAGTGTAGTGCATGTAATTTTCTGCCAAATTAAGTCAATTGTTTCTCATTCTGATCATTCGAAAACATTACAGTATATATCAGTCCTCTTCAAGGACATAATGAACTCTCCTATTTGCTCTTAGACATCATTTTTCCAAAAGATATTTCCATGACGAGTACTCGACTTTTCCCTTAATCTGTAGGTTATATGTTTAAGTCAGGAATTGTACCGAAGAAAACAACATCAACACCAACGTCGAGTGTGAAATTGCAAAGTTTTGTCTGTGACGTGTACTCCTATCTCATTCTCAAGAGATCCACCAACCTGTTGATACTTCCAGTAAATAATGTGACAAAAGGATACCAGGCAAAGAGCCTGGGGCTCGCATTCAGACAATAGGCAGATTGTCTGGTTTCAATGGTAAGCATACATGTATATCGCACGCAATCCATACCATGAAATTTTATGTTTTCTTAGGAAAATGAATAGGTGGATTCGTTGCTTCAGTTTGTGTTATTTGTTGTTTTTGTTTTTTTAAATCTATTTTCAAAAAGATCGACATTTTGGGAAGTAATACACACGTACTGAAAACAAAACAAAAACGAAATATATGTTATTAATGTATTCGACGCAGTGTTAGCCATAGGCCTTGGAATTCCGAAGCGCTAACGTCATATTCGCTCGTTGTGCAGGTTATACTTTCTCAACAAAAGGGACTTTTAGATTTGCACGTTGACGTAGAGGACTGCTACGTGCAGGCGCGTACACAGGGGGGTGTTTGGGGGGTTAACCCCCCCCCCCCTTTGGAATTTTTATGTATGCAAACCCCCCCCCCATCACCACCCCCCTAAACCCCCCCCCCCCCCATCACCACCCCCCTAAACCCCCCCCCCCTCCCCCCTTTGTTTGTTTGTTTGTTTGTTTGTTTGTTTTTTAATTATTAAAAAAAAAAATAATAATAATAATAATTCCCATGGCCGACCTAAAAAGGTGACCTTACCCCCCCCCCCCCCCCCAGTGGAGCGAAATGTCAAATTTTCAAATTTCGAGAGTGTCCTCTTACCCCTTCTTCTCCCTCTGCAAACAAAACAGAAAACAAGGTTATTTAATAAAAGGACCATGCGACAAATAATCATTGTGATTCAAATTGATGCAAGGATTTTTTTTTTGAATAAGCAATGCTTTTCACCAGAATCTTTTTTGTAAAAACGACTTTTACAAATCTCAGCCATGCAATTCTGCCACTGTGCTGTAAGATCACTTTGAGATTAGGAGAAATGTATTATGTAATGGGTATTTTAAATTGAATGGAACGTCTCAACTCAGTAAGCATGGCTGAGATTTGTTTTTACAAAGAAGATTCGGGTGAATAGCAGTGCTTATTCAAACAAATATTCGCATCAATTTGAATCACAATCATTATTTGTCGCTTAATCCCTTTTAATGACCATGTTTTCTTTTTCGTTTGCAAGGGGAGAAGATATGTCACGTTAAAGACATCATAAAGATTAGTGTTGTATGCGTATATATTATATACACAGGCCAGTAACAGCTATGTAGCTTGTAAATTTGTAAGAGGGAAAATGCTGATTGAAATGATAATGATGAAATAGCACATAATTGAGGAGTATCATAGGTACCAATTCAATGGATATTTGTATAAAAAAAGCCCCCTTCAGTAATAAAAGAGCCCCCGTGAGAAGGGGCTCTTTTTTCGGGGGAAGAGCTCCCGTGGACAAAAAATTAATTTGAGCCCTGCTTGCAAATCATTAAAGTCCATATTAGAGCCCGCCCTGCAAATGGGGTTCACCGCGAAATCATTCAAGCAACGTGCTAGAGCAGGGAACATTCAATGTTTTGGGCTGGTATGATCACCACGCAATAGTGTAGCACAAATTGTTTAGAACCAGCAACCTTGACAACTTGGCTAGTATGACGTCACACTTTGGTACTGTGTTATGGTCGTTACAGATATATCATATCTAGTAAATTGTTCCTTTCCACCCAGGTGTTAAATGGTTACCGATTGGATGCGAAATTCAATGATAAGGCCTACTGTGTGCGCGCCCATAAAAAGGGGGAATTCGGCGGTTTTGTTCCCCCAAGGGATAGCGGAGAGCGTGCACTGTGAAGTGTAGAACATTGTTAGCACTTTGGTAGCAAACGTAACATACAAATATGGAGAAGAAAACAACAACAGCTAGAAACTGGATATACAGGAGAATGATGAAAATATCATATAGAAATATATGAAAACTAACAGAGAAAATAATACTCCGTATTACAGGACTAAAACTAAATTGTAGTAGCAATGTTGTTAGTAGTAGTATCAGTAATGGTCGTAGTATTAGTATAATAGTAGTACTAGTAGTAGTAGTAGCAGTAGTAGTAGTAGTAGCAGCAGTAGCATAGTAGTAGTAGTAGTACAGTGGTAGTATCAGTAGTAGCAGTAGCAGTAGTATTAGTATTGTAGTAGCAGTATTGTACTAGTACATAGTAGTATCATAGTAGTAGAAGTAGAAGCAGTAGTAGTTGTAGTAGTAGTAGTAGTAGTAGTAGTAGTAGTAGTAGTAGTAGCGGTAGTAGTAGTGGTAGTAGTAGTGGTAGTAGTAGTAGTAGTAGTAGTAGTAGCGGTAGTAGTAGTGGTAGCAGTAGTGGTAGTAGTATTAGTATTACAGTGATTTTTTTTTATCATGGCATTAAATGCACGCCATATAAGCATAGAGTCCGATTGGGGTCTCGATTCATATGATGCGCACTTTAGTACAATGACAGAGGCTTATGCATTCATGTGCGAAACGAACAATGTGCACTTCTCTGTGAACTTCATCCTTCCATGTCTCTGTCCACAATTGAGGTAGAGATATGTATTTTCGTCAAAGGGAACATGAGTAATCAAGCGTGTATTCCATTCATATCTGTATCTTCCTAAACAGAATATGGACTCGTCTGCCCAATAAACACATACGTTATTAACAAGAGAGGCCTCAGGGAGGGTGACATCACAGAAGCTCTAAAAGGTTTAGCTCTTGCTTCAGTGTTTACCTAAGTACTAACAAGCAAATAGAAACTGTAGCCCTACGAAGGAACGCTACTAAACATTCCTGCAACAATAACAACTTCCTTCTAGATCTCGAAGAGAAGTTGGTGATAGTTTCAGAGACTTTTTCGTCCTACGTCTGGGAAAAGACCGACTCGAAATGGAAAATGAGGTGACTCGATTCGGAGTATGGGACTATTTGGTCCTAGGTGGGATGCTTCTCGTTTCAGCCGTGATTGGGATCTACTATGCCTGCTCGGGCGGGAAGCAGCAGACTGCGACTGAGTACCTCCTCGCCGATCGGAAAGCGAGTCCCCTCCCCGTCGCCTTCTCTCTGGTCGCGAGTTTCGTCTCTGCCATCACGGTTCTCGGTGTCCCTGCTGAGGTGTATGCCTATGGCAGCAGGTATTGGCTGTTCGGCTTCGCTTTCATCGTGGCCGGGTGCATCACCAGCCTCACCATGCCCGTGTTCGTGAGACTACGACTTACAAGTGCGAATGAGGTAGGCCTATAACACACACGCCTCCACAGAAATAGGTTTTGTTGGTTCATTCACTTGACTCTTCAGTGAAGGTTGAGGGTTCGAATCCTACCCCGGCACTAACGTCATTTGGGAAGGCATTAATCCACATTTGCAAATGTCTACCCAGGTGTAAATGGGTACCTTGTATCAAGATGGGGAAATAATAATTGCAGGGCCCTCAGAAAGAACAGCTTCAAAGCTAATGGGGCTTCCTTGGGTAAATACAATTCGTATTATTTAAGAAAAACGTTATTACCTACCGTTTTAATACCATTGCTACTACTACCCAAAATTTGACTTACCAAACAACTGTAGGATGAGATTTTTATCATTATTATTATGATGATGGTGACAACGATGATGATGATGGTGATGATGACAATGATTATAATGATGATAATGATGATGGTGACAACGATAATCAGGATGATGATGATGGTGACGACGAAGATGATAATGATGAGGATGATGATGTTAATTATAATAGGTAGAGAACGAATAGTAAGTAAAATATCAAGATACAGAACAGGTACATAAAGAACAAGCATAACAAGAGGAACACGAAAAACAAGAGTAAATGATGTTTTAGATGGTGATGATGATGATGATGATGATAACCTACTATTAACTCTTTGCATTATTGTGCTCATCTGACCTTGATTACATATAATCCTATCAATTAGACACTTCAAATGTTACCAAAGCTTCACATGCTACCCAAAGTACGTATCACTATCACCTTAAAATAGCATCCAGTTATCAAAGTCTAATAGTAATTAACATCACCATTACCCTGCTATAAAAGTACGACCCTCATCCCCTCCAAGATGTTACCTGTACCAATCATCAGTCGATATTTCAATTTATCACCCCTGATTATAGTGCTCCTAAATTCTAAGTACAAACCATCGAGATTTACAACCAAAACAAATAAATTAACCCTATTTGTAAGTCATCGGGTAATACGTGTTTAACAATGGTTCTCTCTATCTCCCTCTCTCTCTCACTCTTTTCTCCGTCCCCCTTTCTCTATATCTCTCTATTTATCTCCCTCTCTTCCCCTCTCTCCCACTCTTTCTTTATTTCTCTCTCTCTCTCTCTTCCTCTCTCGGTCTCTCTCTCTCTCTCTCTCTCTCTCTCTCTCTTTCTCTGGTCAGATTTCAAGATTCTAGCCTCTCTGTCTATTTGGGCTATATCATTGGTGTTTCAGAGAGCAACCAAAATTGTGAACTTGTATTTACGACGGTTTCGTATAATGATGTATTACATATCTTGCATAATGAAAAGAACATAATAAAAAATGTTTTTTGCAGCGATCTTTAAACAGCGTTATATACAACTGTTACACATTTTGAGGCACATGGAGAAAGTTAAAGGCGAAATTCACATTACTTCAGAAGTAGCAATTACATGATATATTTATTTATTTATTTATTCAGTTTTATTTAAAAACAGGGTAGTCTTTTCAGTGCCAGAGGCCTGCTTTACAAAAGAGCCCTATATCAAAATATGATTCAAATACATAAAGGAATAAGATACGACAATAGAGTCTTGACGATACAAGAATTTGAGAAAGGTGTGAATAAATTCTGCATTGTTTGCAGTAGAAAATGTGTTAGGCTGTGCTTAAAATACTTTGTTTTGAACATGTTGATTCGTTTTTCCAAATTTATATTCATTTTCATTTTTATTCATCGCAAGTCAGTCATGAACGGGGAGGAATAATGTACAAAGTTCAAATTCAGTGCATATCAGATATTTTTTGAAAGATTTAGGACCTAAAGACTTCGAGTCGGATTTTCATTCTGAATACTTATCAGTGCATGACAAATGAGTCCATGGGAATTATCTCCATTAGATTTGTAGGTGAAATGTCGCAAAATATTTGCTTAACATTTTTCATCGAATAAATAACAAACCTGACTCGAAGATATATTATAAATGAATATATATTTACACTAGAGAATGCACGTATAGAGGCAAGTTTTATTTTACTAACTGATGTTTGTAATAAATTTGATTAATTGGGTTGGGTTGTCGTTATTGCATTTGTATATCTTTTATCACCCATATGTAACCCGTGAGTGTTTCACAAAGACTAAGATCGACTTTGAGTTGGACTTAACTATGACAGGCCATTCAAGCCACGGTTTTCTCTCACCATTGGTCTTTCAAGGGACGTCCCAAATCTACAGAATTTCCATTTGTTTGTATAGTTCATTATTGAAGTAAAAAACATCGTCTAAAGATCACTATTTCTAAGGTTTTTTCCTCTGTTTTTACATCTGGTTCAAGACTTTTTAAGGGCATGAACAGCCTGCCATAGGTAAGTCCAACTTAAAGTCGATCTTATTTTTGTGACACACCCCCTGAGCTCATATTCATAACACCTTACTGAGACTAATTGTCACCTGTGTACTAAGCCTATGTAATTATTTACTGTAGCTTACCTTAATGTAGGGGGCACGAAAAGACGAGCCCGGATACAAAAGCATAATAACTAATGATTTGTGTTATTGAAAGTTCTGCTTTTACATATCTGCATACCATTTAAGGTAACTTGAAGCCCAATCGAGGCAGGTCTATATCCAAATGACGTAGTTCTACCTTTTTGTGAAGAAATTATGATTTCCAATAATTGTGCTTTTTGCGTTCTTTTTGGCACTCTATTTCTCCCAGGTACAATAGAAAGGTTTTTATCGAATATAGACTCTGATTGTTAAGATTTTTAATTGTTCGATGTTGTTGTTGTTTTTGTATTTCATATAATTCCAATTCTATTCAAGCCACGGTTATCTATCTACAGTAAAAAAATATATTTTGTTAAACACGTCAAGATTCAGGGGTGCCACTTTAGATAGATGCCTACTGAATTCTCTTTTTTCCATACACTTTAATACAGGAGCCGTTCGGTTTCAGTAGGCAATAGGTTAGGCGATCTCTTTACACACATTTTCTTTCTAGAGGCAGACCATAGATACGACCTCTATAGACAGATGACTTTTACAGGGAAGAAACTGAGACAGGGTTTCACCAACTTGTATGCGTGTTTATATGTCGGTGTGCATTATCTATGAATTGTACATGCATTGGGTTTAAACTGAATTATGTTAGTATGATGGGGAAGAATTGTAGTTTGAACATTGTTTGGGGTTGTTTTGGTATTGAATGAAATAACCTTTTTTGTTTTAATACAGAAAAACAAAAAAAATGAGATAGATTGCATGTGTGTGTGTGGGTGCGAGCAACCTCGAATTGACAAGAAACCAACGAAAAACAATGTATATATACAAGAATAATAAGGTTCCTTGCTCTGTAGCCTGGACTATTATATGACATGTTATAGTGATGTACAATTATGGTCGTCACATTAATCTGATTTAACATACTCAACAGCTGTGTATGATTTCCCTGATCAAAGGGAATATCAAGCAAATGAATGACATAACAAATAATTTAGATACCATCGTGGGACTTAAACTATAACTGCTCTGTGTTAAGCTTTGTGTTCACAGGAAGGAGTATTTTGAGCAAGCATTATAATGAAATTGAATCATTAATGATTTTCCTTTTATTTCAGTATCTTGAACTTCGATTTAATAGCGCGATCCGACTGGTCGGGACAACGATAACCTTCTTTTCCATGGTAAGGAACACGTTTTTTGTTTTTAATTTTCCATTGATTTTAGATTTAATCATGTTAAAGGGATAGTTGAGTTCTGTTTTCAGATCGCAAATGCCTTCAAAGTGCATGGTTATTGCTTTTATTCTTATCTATGACATTTCAAGTGCCTTTTTAGAACCTAACATTACTATGAAAGTAATTTTAGACCCCAAAATGTGTGAAATTTAGCCAATACGAGCATAGCAATTCAGCTCTACTTTTAAAAAAACACGGTGACCGTTAATTAATTATTTAATTAAAATACCAATACATGGTCCGGCTGGTTGTGCGTAAAAGCAACACGAAAATGCCAACAAAAAACCAACATCGGCATTGGCTGAAATACGACGGAAAAGACATTATTTCGTTTTTTTCAACGGTTTTTTCAAATTTTTCACAATATCTAATACTTGTGGTGGTACACAAGAATTAGAAATCGTTATATTTCAGCCGTCACTAAACCGATTTCATTCAAACAAAGATGATTTTATCATTTAAATATTATGTTCTTTCAAGTTTGACACTCAGTTTTTCATTATTTTTTGTTTTAAATGATATTTTATTTCCTTCCTCATAATTTCACATAACAAGAAACTCACATAACAAGAAATTATCAAATTAAGCAATATAAAACAAGATCTTTGATACAAGACATTTCATGAGTTACATCAATCAATGAACATAGAAAAAAAAAGGGGGAAAAAAATTCTTGCATGTAACAGTGTATAATCAAAATAACAGTAGAGGAAGGTTTAAAGTGTAGATTTTTTTTGTTTTAAATGATATTTTATTTCCTTCCTCATAATTTCACATAGCAAGAAATTCACATAACAAGAAATTATCAAGATAAGCAATATAAAACAAGATCTTTGATACAAGACATTTCATAAGTTACATTAATCAATGAACATAGAGGGAAAAAAAGGGGAAAAAAAGAGTCTTGCATGTAACAGTGTATAATCAAAATAACAGTAGAGGAAGGTTTAAAGTTACATATTACCATCCTATCACAACACTCTCACACCCCCCCCCCCTCTAGCCCACCCACACCACATCCCCTTTCACACACATAAACAACCAAACAAACACAAACACACACTGCATGCAACCTGTTCCCTCCACTCACACCACACAGACTATTCACTCCCCCCCCCCCCCCCCCCTAGCCCACCCATCTCACACCCCCTTCACGCCGACACACACGCTGCATGCAACCTGTTCCGGTTTGTCCACCTGTACACGAGAGAGAATTAATAATAATAATAATAATAATAATACCCACATACCCACATAATACCCACGTCCATTAAGGTAAAAATGCATCGATTTGTTCATTATCTCACAACAAAATTGTTTTGTGTAGCGCCCTCAACTCAACTATTGCTCAGATATGACATGGTAAAACTCTGCAATAAAAAAACGCCGTTTTGTTTTGGGTTTGTACGGGTAAATGAATGGCAAATGATCGCACAACAAAGGTCATGCGTGTATTTACTGGCATCTGTGTTATAAGACACAAACATGTGACGTGTATGTCAATCTCCGTCATCGTAAAAAGAAACCGCCGTGGTTTTTGCCGGGTCATGTCTGAACAAGCCTTATATTACTTTATTAAAGCCCAACGCATCCCAAAGGATTCGGGGATTTATAAATTTATGACAGTGTTTGCCACATTATTATTTCAGTATATGGATTTAATTGAAATAGGAATTTTCCTCTTTTAGTGATGGAAAATGAATAATGTGCTTCCTTTCGAATAACACACAAAACAAATTATTGATAACATTCAGTTTAATACTAAAAGATGTTGAATTAACATAAATAAACATTTCCATTATATCATTACATCGGGAATACTGTTCAAAGAATCAGTCTATTGACTGCTGAATTGTGAGGCCTATTCCAAATTAGGATTTGGACACAAAATTAGTTTAATTGCTTGGGGCATTTAATTTATTGTCTAAAAGGTATCATCACTCTTGTCTGCTAAATGCATTTAGTTGGTTGGAAAAGTAATATATTTTTCTTTGATATGTCACACTTTGCTCCATAACAAATGGCGCATCCATTCCCTATTAAACAATATAAGGCCCAAAACGCCTGGCTGTGATGCTCCCCAAGGAGTGTAGAGCGTGCAACACGGAGTGTGCGGGCATGTTTTGAATCCAATGACCGGGGTAATAGTATATCTGTAAAGCGCTTAGAGACATCGTAGATGTAGTAAGCGCTATATAAAAGCGAAATATTATTTATTTATTACGTTCGTACCCGAAATTAAATGAACTTTGGTCAATTCATGCCAATTGTATATCTTCGTATATGGTAACATATCTTTCATTTCGCAGTCCTAAATCATTTGATCGTTTCATATTTGGACTATACTTGAGCATATACAGTTGGACTGTCAAAGAACATAATAATCCTCGTTCGGCGCAAGTTTTCCGAAGGTTCATTCAAGTTACTCTAACTGTTATAAGCTACTGACATCATTGTGTTTGATTGGCTGAGAGCAAATTTGTGATGATATTTTGCACTTGAACATTTGGAAGAAGTTTATGGAACAGGGTACAGGCACTGATATCAAAAATTTGATTTTTTTTTTTTTTTTTGACTTTTTTTTATTCTTCTTTCTCTTTCTATCTTCTTTCTCTCTTCCTCCCTCTTATCTATTTTTCTCTCTCCCTTTCTCTCCCTCCCTTCCTATCTCTCCCTCTCCCTTTCTCTTTTTCTCTCAATCTCAGATTTTCTATATTGCTGTGGTGATCTACGCCCCTGCTCTGGCACTTAACCAAGGTAAACATCTAAATGCTTGGAGGATTTCAGTGCTGTGTAAATACTAATTCATCGCAACCATTATAGCGATATCCAGGGACCTTTTAACACAGTTATATCGAAGGTCACACCAACGTAACCGACCACTGGACCAACAACAAACCGAGCAAAGACTTACCTTACTACAAATGACCGGGGGGTGTTTCATAAAGCTGTTCGTAAGTTACGCATACCTTTACGAACGACTTGAATATGGAAAGCCAAATGGGATGCTCAATCCTTTTTAATTGCATCAACTAAAGTTTAACTGTGCAGATACAGATTAACATTCTTATTATAACAAACATTTTGTAATGCAAAGTATATTTTTTGCCATCATTTAATTGAGGTTACTGGAAATATAGTCACACTTAAAACAACTGGAAAAACTTTGGGCATCCTATCTGGCACTTCATATTCAAGTCGTTCGTAAAGACAGTCATGCGTAACTTACGAACAGCTTTATGAAACACCCCCAGGAGTCAGTAATTGTGGAGTCGGTGTGGAATCGGTTAGACCGTGTGACTGAGGTATAAAAAACCGACACCAGACCGATTACAGGCGGAACATAATTTTACATTACCCTGAATGGCCAAGGATTGATAAGTCGGTTAAGTTGGTTTTGAGACGGTTTGGCAGTGAGATGTATACCCAAATCAAACCGACGAGACCGATGACAGACCGATCAAAAAAATTACATTGTCTAATTGCAATCCGACAGGTTCCTTCCCATTATGGGTACTGTAATTTTGTCTGTCCGGTCTGGTGTCGGTCTATAGTGTCGGTCTTGTCAGTCTAACTCGACGATCGGTTTGCAGTCGGTGTGGTCGGTTTCTTCGTGCGACTGATCGAATAGCGAGTCCAAACCAACTTCTTTTGTACTTTCTAATAATGTAATAATGTTCCCTTTATTCTGTCTGCTGTTGATGTTGTGCCGGTTGTCGTGATGATAATGCCACAATCCCACAGAAGAGACCAATTCCAAAACGACGAGTTAGAGAGTTAGGGTTTGGTATTAGCAACTGGATTTAGGTTTACAGGTGTAGGGCCATAGTGAAGTATCGTCTTTGGTCAACGGGTGAGGTCAAGAATTCGGTTAGTGTAGGAATTTAGTTGGAGTAGAAAGCTCCCTTTGAAGAGAGCTATATTGGAGATCGCTTTATTTGTAGTGGAATCAATCATTCTCGACAAGTTTATTCAACCATTATTATGGGGTACCTCTTTGCAGTATTGGATGTAAACATCTCCAAGGGAATCGTTCTCTAATAATTATGACTCAAAATAGTGAATTTCCATTCCTCTGCACTGAGCGAGTGGAATCTAACACAGATAATGATTACTGGTGCATTCATAAAGGAAAGGGTGATGCGTGTGAAGTCACAGCTATATTTAGGTCAAATAAACATGACAAGCACAGTTTCCAGGCCAGACCCCCACGTATTTACGCGTTCCAGTCGACGCCAGTGCACAATGTAGCCTGAGCAGACACCCCAAACAACCACGTATGAATAACCATAGTCATGATGATAGTTTTTAAAAATAATCTTTCACCTAAATGTGCATTGTCATACAATGGCCTTCACGATGGTTCATGCTCTAGATAATGAGATCGTTTTGTGTTTGTATCTCAGACGTTGGAATTCATGTTTGCGGAGTCAAGCTCTCTAAGTTTTCTTCTCATTTATGACAAATACATTTGAGCAATCATACTGAGTGAGAGCATATTTACAGAGATAAAGAAGCCAGGTACTGTCAGGGGATCAAGGACTACCAAATAGTTGCCTCCCACATAATTTCTCTTTGGGAGGGAACTATTTCGGCGCTCCATTGATTGAACCTTGAATGCGTACGCGGAAGCATGCATGTCAAAACTATCTCTCTCATTACGCTATGCATGAGGTAATCGAATATTCACGTAGATGTGTCGTTAGTGTTTTCATCACTTGCCTCTCAATCCAAGTCATAAGGGTTCGAATCCATGCCCGACACCGGCAAACGTTGACAATATATTAATCTACATTTGCCACTCCTAATCCAGGTTTAAATGGGTACCGAATATGCGAGAGCGTTACATGGAGCGTCACAGAGTGACGGACATGTGCGCGTTATAAAAAACACATTTATTATCATCAACCTTCAGAAACAAGAGGCATGCACTGATGAGATCATTATAAAAGAAAGGAGTCAGACATGAAAACAAGCACTAACAAAAACCAACAGAGCAATATGGTCGTATATCTAAATGACAATATGTGATGTCCAAAATAAATTGCAGGTGTAGAATGAGTAAACTGATAATGTGTAGAAAAAAAGAACATTTATGAAGAAATGATGGTGGGATTAGGGAGGAAATAAGTTTTAATGTACATGATGTACCTGTTTGTTTCAGTGTATGCACATGTAAATTTATACATATTACAATTATGACACGTTTTTAATGTCACTGCTCGAAATGTTGACGCGTCCTAACATCTTTAGTACGTAAGGTATACCACGAGTGATAATTGTTGATTTATTCTGTTTTCTTTTCTAGTATCTGGTGTTAGTCTATGGGGATGTGCCATTGCCACCGGAGTAGTTTGTACGTTTTACACTACAATAGTAAGTATTAATTTATATACCTCACTTTAGAAATCTAGCCATCTGATTGGTCGAAATTGGAGTCGTGATTTTGGCCATGCCCCACCTACCAGTCAATAGTCTTTTGAAAAGCGCCCTCGGGCACTTTTTAAAAGACTGTTGACTGGTAGGTGGGTATGAGTACTGCGACAGCGGTCCCCTTTGGTTTACGTGTTTATGAAGATTGAAATCGGTCAGATTCTGGACTTAGCCATGAGCTGTTAATAGTATTATGTGAATGAAACAGTCGATACACACATGATCGAGAAAGTTTCCCATATTGGGTGGTATTCTCTTAAGTTAAGCCGGGACTAAGTCCAGACTAAACAAGAATTTTAGTTCGCACTTCTATGGAATGCTAGGTTTCATCTTCCTCCTTCAATATTCATGACAAAGATAATCTACCAAGGACTTTGTTGAAATTTAGTTTATATTCATATTATCTTTTTCTTCCTATTTCAGTGCAAAATTAATTTTTTGGACACTTTTCATTGAAGGATTAAAATAATCTGTTCAGGGTAAATTAGTTCACAACAGGCACTCCATAAAAGTGTGAACTAACTAAGCACGCGCTAACTTAGTACGCGCTACCGGAATACCACCCATAGTTCTTAACTTAACAAACGCTAGAAGATTTCCATTTTACAGATAGTAGCCTAATCAACCTCTTTGTCTTTTTATGTTCATTTCTCATTAAATTTACCTGAATTATATCCCTAATGCGGTACGAATAAATTTTTAGTCTAAGGAATGCCAGTTGATCGTTACATAATTGTACCTCCATCGTTGCAGATCGTTGTAGATATTGGTAGCACTTTGAAAGTTACACTAAAATTACAAATAAATTTAACCATTATGGCACAAGATAACACTTGCAGTCAGATATTACTCTTAGGGTCTTTCTCTCTCTCTATCAATTATTTGTATTCATCGCTTATCGATCCCGCATTAATTATGATTGATGTAGCAGAGGGCAAAATAACATATTCACCCTTCTCCTGACAATTGAGAACTTGTGCAGTATGATCATACAAATGGATAATGATAAGCAATATAGCAATTCATACTTATCAATGATAATAATCATGAAGATAAATAATAAAATAATGATAAATATAATAATAGCGATTATAGTGATAAACATAATAATAATACAAATAATAATTATCATCATCATCATTATCATAGCAATAATGACCGACTCGTTCTCTCTGGGTACTTTAGGACTATAGTGCCCTCGAAACATCTATGTTGCCCTCATTTCCGTCTCGTCCTCTGAGCTAGTCAATATTAATTAAGATATTTATTTATTCATTATATCTATTAATGTTATTATTGTACTTATTATTACAAATGTCATTCTGATTAGTATTGTTGTTGTTCTTGTTATTATTATTTTCATTATTAGGAGTAGTAGTAGTCGGTGTTGTATCATTACTATTCTCATTTTCATCAATATTGTTTTTTAATAATATTATTATCATCAGTATTATTATTATCATCATTATTGGTGCTATTATTATTATTTTTATTCGTAGGGTGGAATGAATGCTGTGCTGTGGACTGATGTATTCCAGTCGTTGGTAATGATGTGTGGTCTCCTGGCCGTGATCATTCAGGGATCAAACGAGAGCGGCGGTATGGACAATGTCTGGAGCATCTGCCAGAAAGGAGGAAGGATTAATTTCTGGGAGTAAGTTATTGGAGAAAGTGCAGGGCAGATCACTAAAGCCATTACTACACCCAGCTATAAATGAACAACTTCGTGGGTCACGCTCTGTACAGGATGCTTCAGCAGACGTTTTGAATAAATTGCCTAAAATATCTTAAAGTGTGATATTGTTGACAATACTTTAAAACAACAGACCGAAAAGTAACTCTAGGGAACCATCAGAAAATTTGTTAGAATGCCAAGGAAACCCGGCCTGCATAACGGTCACCTTAGCCGTCGGAATAAACTATTTCATAACGTTACACAAGGCCCTCTGTCGGTCTGTTGGTTTATTTAGCAGTGCATTGACGGTCACCACTAACCCTTGCTCTTCCTTTTCCTGACCCTCGTCCTCTTTCTCCTCCTCCTCTCCTCCTTCTCATAATCCTCCTTCCCCTCCTCCTTATTCCCCTCCTCGTCCTCTTCATCATCATAATATACTCTTTCCCCTTGTCACCTTATCCTCTTCCCCATCATCATCCTTCTTTTACTCTTCCTCATCCCACTCTCCTCATGCTCATCATCCGTATCCTTCTCCTCTTCCTCCTTCTTCTCGTCTTCTGCATCATTCTCCTCCTCTTTCTTACCCCCTTCCATATCATCTTCCTATTATCCACCACCCTCTGCTCCTCCTCCTCCTCATCCTCCTTCTCCTCATCATTCTCCTCCGGGTCCTCCTCCTTCTTCTCATTATGGTGCCACCACTGCCCATTTACTTTCTTATCTTTTTCAATTCGACTTTCAGATTTGATCCCGACCCTACTATCCGCCATAGTTTCTGGAGCATTGTCATCGGAGGTGGATTCACCTGGGGCGCCATCTACGGCATATCACAAGCGCAGGTCATGAGATATCTCGCGTGTGGAAAAGTCAAAACTGCCAGATTGTAAATATTAATTCCCAACTTCAAGATCTGTATATCATTAATATGGTCATAACACTTGGATCGAATTTTTAAACTACAATAATTGCTATATATCAAGTGGACATATTCATGAAAGTAGGCCATAACCGAAATCCTAAAACAGCAAAAATTAAAAGGAGTAATTTGCATTATTTCTAATAGATGTCTTCTATGCAATCGTATTTTTTATGCGCTGTGCTTTTCTACTTTTTTCAGAGCACTTGGAATGGCGATTGTTGGTATGATCATCGTGCTATCTTCTGCCGTGCTTGCTGGGATGGTGATCTATGCACGATACGCTACATGTGACCCTTTCCGTACGGGTAGAGTTACTAGTGGCGACCAGGTAAACGAAATGTATAAGTTTTGAAGATTTTACAGTCGGACAATTAATGCGAGGTTAACTAACAGTAAATAAGTAGCACGATCGTGAGGACTTTCGAGAAATCATGTCAATGGAAACTGTGTTACCTTATTGTATATCACATAGGGTTGGTAGAAAGTATCTTCGAATGACGCAAACATATCATGTGATGTTATTAATGTGAACACGTTTCAAAAGATGACGAACAAGGCTAGTGACATTTTCTGCAAAGGTCTTGGCATTTGAGTGCCATGCACACTTTCAGCGCACGCCATGGCAGAGTTGATCGCAAGTACGCAAGAACCTGCTCAGCGTGGCAGAAACAAATGTATGTAAGTTTGGTGTGGTCTTGGAATAAAAATCGTAAATATATATAAGCCTAGATTAGTAAAGATGTTACTTGAAACTTCAATACCAGGGCAAGCGTTGGTGGGTGTGGGTGTGTGCGTATGTGCGAATGTGTATATGTGGAGGAGGTTCTAATAGCTTTAGCTATTCTACGACAATTAATAACAGAATCAGCCTGCATAATGGTGCACCAACATAACATGTGGTACTTAATAATTTACAAAAGTTGAAAATCTGATTTATTTATTCTTTCAGATCAAAGTAATATGTCAACATAAAACATGGTTTTCCTTCGCTTTATCTCATTTTGTTTCCCCAGCTGATGCCCTTTATAGTTTTGGATCTTTTCGGTGACACACCAGGCCTCTCTGGACTATTCACTGCGTCAATATTCAGCGCAGCCATGAGGTTAGTAAAACTTCGATGTTTTCAGTTCATCTTTCCGATACTCGGTTAGGGAGATAACAGAACTAAAATTTATAAGGCGTCGGGGTTTGTTTTTAATAGTAAAGCCTAGGCCTACTCTATGCTTAGCAAAAAGAAATACATATTGTGATTGCGTTTAGGTGTAAGTACGGTGTTAATTTTGATCAATCCTGGAGTTATGACGATGTAAATACTGGGTTTACACGGTGTGCTTACAGTATTTTCCGATAAAGATGGTTGCATGTCCATTTGAAAATAAAGCGCTCAATACTGATTTTTTTTTTTAAGCGCTGTACTTTTATTAGCCGAGCTACCCTGATAAGGCGATCTGGCGTTCGATGAAAATCTTCATACCAGGTACCCCTTCACTTTATCTGAGTGGTGAGTCGCGAATGCAAATTAATAGGGACTTTTAGATTTGCGTGGACTGATACGTGTGACGTCCATTCAAGGCAGTGCATTAAAGGACGTCGATCGTAGCAATCCCCATTGTCTTTATGCGAATCTAAAAGTCCCTATTGTCTTGCCAAAGGACATCAGCGATCCACAGTCCGGTGACGTATCCACTGGACCATTAAACCTCTACATCGTAGCCAAGAACTGCTGTATTAAATGTATTGGGTAACTTTTTTTATATTTTTTATCATAAGAACCTTAACTTTGACAAAGTTGTGTCACGACAGTAGCCAAGAAGGTCTGTGAGGGCGTTTAAATATTTGTCAGTGTTTATATTTGTTTACATTTTTAATCAAACAGTACGGCGTCTTCGGGTCTCAATGCTCTCACAGCTGTTACGACCGAGGACCTCGTGACCAAAATGTTTCCACGAGTGGGCAAGAGTGAAAAACTATACGCGATAGTCAGCAAAATCGTATGTAAGTAAATGTTTCATTTCATATATTATTTTACCTATCATCATCTAAATAGGGGAATGACAACATAACATGTAATGTAAATTCCACTAGGCTTTATATTGCATTGGTTGATTGAGGTAGCCTTATTATACTGGGCAGGAATCTCATATTTTATACTTGATGGATATAAATTTTATATAATTTTCGAGGATTTAGCATATTCATGTATGTGTAGAATTTGGCTCTGCTGCATGCGCTTGGTTCAAGATTACTATTACCCAGGCTGTAACTGAGCCGCCATGATAAATCGCAAAAGCATTCAAGGAATTTCTTCCTACCCAGTATCCATCTACTTCACCAGGGTGGAGGAGTTTAAAATACAGATTAATGTCTTACCAAAGGCCATAAGATCCGTGGCTGGACTCGAACCACGAACCATGGGGTCCAGCGTCCGACGACGCATCCACTTATCCATGAAACCTCTGCAATTAATCTCTTGATGATAATATATTAATATATTGTCACCCCTCGAGTTTGGCGGTTGCCTCTTTTTACATCGGTTATACAAAGCGTATTTGAATGATAATCAGTAGACCCAGTAGACGGCCGTTTGGGAGAAAATATCCCGATATTGATAAAATAAAGCAGATCAATCTTTGAAAATGAAATGACAGGATTGAGAAATTATTACAAAGTGAGAACTTATTTCAATTCATGACCTTCAAGTTACATGTAGAGATTTGTTCTCGTGTTCTCTTTTTTTTGTTCTTCTTCCTCATGCAGTGCTTTCATATGGAGCCATTTGTATTCTGCTGACCTATGTAGCATCTTACCTGGGAAGTGTTCTGCAGGTAGGAACAAGATCGAAGCTACGGGTGTGGCACTTGCCGCCTTGCCCCCCCCCCCCCCCCCCCCCCCCACAATCGAAAAGTAGAAAGAGAAGAAAACACAAGAAAAATGAGGAAAAAATATAGAAAGAACTTGGAAAATGGGAGGAAGACGAGAAATAAAGACACTTGGACCACCGCCCGCATCCTCCCTTAATCAGTAAGATTGTGCGGTTGCAGTTTCGTCCTCATCTTCCCAGTAACCCAGAGTTTTCTAAAAGTATAAATGAATCAGCTTTGTTCCTCAAATTGGCAACAATTATTTGTTTTGTACACTTTTTAACAGTTAAACAAATTGAATGGTATATAAAACAGTGTGAATGAGAAATTACTAAAAATCAATAAAAAATTGCCAATTTCTACACACAAAAAAAGGGATTATAAATTAGACGCTGCTTTGCCAATTTAAATACATTTCAATGATTATTTTCGATTAAAACATGAGCGGTTGCGGTGACTGGCACAATGTTTTTTTTGCAACAGAAACGGACTCGAATTTCCCAGTGATTTTTGCACTTCATGCAAATTTGTAATTCAGAGCATACAAGATCAAGATATTTATATTTAAAAAACATAATAACACGTGTCTAAACGGAGGCACCTAACTGCTTTAAGTTAAGAACGAACCCCCTCCTCCCTGTGCCCGTGCCCCCTTATTTGATGGACTTACGCTACATCACTGAGTAAGTTAATATATCCAAACGTAAGCCATGAAAGGGGATAGATATGTTAGTGTTTTTTGGGCCGAATATATTTTACAGTTATCCACTTCAACAAAATTAATCTTAACGAACAACCAATTAACTCTCAAGTGAACCAATCACATGAAGAAGAAAAATGTGTATATATACAAGATAGTCGGAATTTGGTTCTTTGCGCGCCATATTCCATGTGAGGGTGTACGCATGCGTTAACTAGTCTGCTCAAAGTTATGTTTCTTGGTTCACTTAAAATCATTTCAATTGCAATATTCCTTTGTAAAAGTAATATTTAGACCTCATATTTCAAATACAGTATAGCCACATGAAACCCCTTATATCAAGAGAAAAAAATTTATGGTGTGGGATTATGTACACTTTGAAATTGTAATAGGCATTATTGCTTTAATAACAACATGAGTTATTATGCTATCTTAGTGAAAGACAAATAAATTGAAGATAATATTGATTCATATACTATTTATAAGAATAATCATGAATTCAGTCTCATGAATCATGAATGAAGTTATTACAGTTTATAAGAATAATCAGAAATGTTGCTATAATAAGAAAAACTACAACAAAAGCTCAGAACACATTAAATTTGGTGACGCATTATTACGTCAATATTGGGCTATTGACGCAAGGGATAATTTCCTTCGCGGGCCCATTTGGTATCGGTAATAATCAAAATGGCGCCTCAAGTGCAATCTATATAAAGGAAGAATTATGGCAGTTTCAGAAGGCCCAGAAGAGAAAAAGTTTCATCAATGATCAACGTTTTTTTTATTGACGCAGTTGACGCTTAGTCTTGGTGGAATGCTTGGTGGGCCTGGTCTTGGTTTGTTCACCCTTGGAATGTTCTTCCCATGGGCAAACAGCAAGGTAAGAATTGGCATTTATATTAACAAGTCGTTATGATTTTGTCATGTTACGGAGCGAAACTCGATTACAGCTTATCCTTGAACTTCTTTCCCTGACCAAGTATAATACTTTTGATCTGTCTTTCTTTTGTGTCACATTAAATTTGGTAATAACAGTTCACGAAAAATCAGATGAAATCTGTGAATCAAAATATATTTCAAATGTCTTTTTTGGATGAAAAATTTGCTTAAATATAATCTTCCTTTTTTGTAACCAGTACAAGTGATTATATATTTTTCTAAAGGCATCAGCTGATCGCAAGAAGGCCATTTTAAATGGCAATGTATTCAATAGCAGTAACGATCACTTGCAGGCAGGCAACGAGTTAGATCTGAAAGTAACAATGGCGCAACAATGTACAAACAATACCTCGGCTGTATTCGGGGCTATAATGAAGATTCGAATGAGCTTGACGTTTATGATGATGTGGGCGAGTGCAGGTGGGTGTGGGTTATCTTTTCATTTGTTTCTGTCTAAAATATCAAATTTTGTTTGAAAGCCCCCGCCCCTCCCTATACTCTTTCCCTCTATCTCTCTCTCTCCCTCTCTGTTTCTTTATCTCCCCCAATTTCTGACTTTTTCTAACTGTCTGTTCATCCCTCTCCCCCCCCCCCCTTCTCTCTCTCTCTCTCTCTCCCTCTCTCTTTCTCTCTCCATCTCTCTCTCTCGCTCTCTCTCTCTCTCTTTCTCGCTCTCTTTCTCTTTCTCTTTCTCTTTCTTTCTCCCTCTCTCTTTCTCTCTCTCTCTCGATATCATTGGTGTCTGTTTCCCTGACTCCCGTACCCTTGCTGATCCGTTTCTTTCTATACGTCTGTTAATACCTCTTCCTGTTTTGATTTCCAGGGCGCTCTTGTAGGAGTGCTTGTCGCTCTCGCCTGGAGTCTGTGGGTTGGTGTTGGAACATATGTCGATGGCATCCTCTATCCCCGAAACCCTGGCTTTCTCCCGCTCGATATCTCCGGGTGCCCTGCTCCTCCGACGGTAAACACCACCATGACGACCCTGATGATGGAGACGACATCTTTGCAAATGACCTCTGAGATGATGCTGTCAGTCGCGCCGCCAATGTAAGCATGGTCTATGTATTTACATGTTTATGCAACTTTATCGTCATCTTCAAACCTTGGGCAGATGTACCCTATGCGTTATATATCAAATTATACATTCACATCTACTTCATCTTCTTCAAATTTTGTTATTTTATGATCCGCTTTTCCTGATAAATCACACTAAATTTACTCTGAACATTTACTTTTATTTTTACCCTTACTTTTAACATTACAATATAAAAAAGGAAAAGGAAAAGTTAGTTTGAATTTTTTTTAATTTCCTACTAAGTTTCTTTGTACTTACTTAAAGTTTTAATTTTCATTTACAATACTTAACCTTTAATTTTACTTTTACTTATATGTTTTGAAGTATTTTGCCGTTTACGCTTTTACCTTTGTAAAATGTCAATCTAACCAACCAACCAACCCTTACTTTTAACTAACCCTTACTTTTAACTTTACAATAAAAAAAAAAAGGAAAAGGAAAAGTTGAAAAACAAAATGAACTTTTAATAAGAACTTTTACTTTTGCATTCACTCTCGGTTCTGCCAATTACTTTTACTTTTAATTTTCACTTTGACTTTATTTTACTTTAGTTTTTGTATAACTTTTACTTTCACTTATACCTTCACTTGTACTGTTATTTCTACCTTTATTTCCACTTTCGCTTTTAAATTTCCTACTAAAGTTTCTTTGTACTTACTTAAAGTTTTAAATTTCATTTACAATACTTAACCTTTAATTTTACTATTACTTATATGTTTTGAAGTATGTTGCCGTTTTCGCTTTTACCTTTGTAAAATGTCAATCTAACCAACCAAACGAATTTTGACGCTTTCGTTTCATTAATTTTTCCGTTGTTATTTGTTTTTGTTGTTGTTGTTGTATTTGTTTGTTTTCATCTTTGATGTCTACACACAGGTCTCCCCCGGAACCTCTTGGAATCTACAGGTTATCTTACATCTGGCTCGGTTTCTACAGTTGGATGATTACTCTGGTTCTGGGATTACTTGTCAGCTTCATAACAGGTACTTACCAGCGTATTTTACGGAGGGACAAGGGAGACAGTTTGCCCCTCCCGTCAGACTTCTGAAAGGAAAAATGCATCCATTTTTATCATGTACTATTTCATATACCTCTCTTTAGACATCTAGCCATCTTATTGGTCGAAATTGGAGGCGTGATTTTAGCCATTTCCGTAAAGAAACGAACAATGCCAGTAACGGTTAATAGTCCACTAGTGAGATTCCCTAAAGATTCCGGGTACCTCGGTACGCCTCGGGTTAATATCAGGATACAACGTCCCCTTGAGCCTATAAAACAACTGTCCCTCTTATAGCAGTCATTATAATGCAAATATAGTCTAAGACGTTTAATGTCTATATATTCCTAAAACTATTCATAGACAACTCGAAAAGCTGAATTTCAAAATCATCTTCAGGCACTTTATTATGTTTAGCCTTTACCACTGAAAACACAGTATTAGGACCATTATGCTGTTTCAAAATGGATTGCTGATATTTCGTCCTGTTTTGACATTTTTTTCTTTTTCGTCAGGAGCGACGGATCCGCGAAAGCTGGACCCGGCTCTGATTAGTCCTATCGCCGATTGGTTCTTCTGTTGCTTGCCTGCCTCGTGGAAGTCTACACTCAGATGTAGGGTAGGGAAGCATTACAAACCGGACGAAGTGAGTACTATGGAAAATCAGAATATATTTACCGTGGGGCATTTCAATAGACATGTTTAGTTTTAGAACTGTATTTTAATATACCTGTTTTAATAGAGTAGTCTTGTATTTCAATGTATGCATATTTCTTTCCTTAATCCCTGGTTACCAGTCATTAAATTTACGTGCTATGGATAGTGACATCTCTATATCGATAGAATCCACTTTGCATACAGTTGTGGTTGCTATATTGGGCAAGCCTCTGGCAAGCATTTTAGTTGGTAAAAGAAAAAATTGTTCAAAAATTTTATGTGAACAATTAGTAAACAGGTATATTGGTAACTGAAAACACACGGTCTTGAACTCTTTCATTTGCTGGAGATGATTGCTAATGCCACTTTTATTGATTCGTTTAATCCTTTTTTTTTTCTTCAGACGGACCTTGTGAAGGGTGAAGCCTGCGAAGTCAAAGGTCATGAAAATGGGATTGAGGTGAGCATATGTAGCATTAAAAGTAACGACAGGTATATAGATCTATACACTATTTTATTAATCCTACTGGACAAGAGAGCCAACACAATTAAAAAGAAACGAAAAAAACGCACAAAGGTATCGTTAGTAACGATGGCAACGCCGATAAAAAAATAAGTAGTAAGAACTACACTGATCTCTAATTTTCATTTACTTCTTTAGATTATTTTACAGTTTGAAACGATATATATATGTGTGTGAATTTGAATAACCCAGTGGCTGGTCTTCGTAATAAGAGAATAACAGAGACAAACACGTGTCGTGGTCCAGTGGATGTCACCACTGTGAATCGCATGATTTGCAGTTCGAGCCTTTTGGCAAGACATTAACATACATTTGCCACTCTCGACCCAGCTGTTAAATGGATACCCGGTAGGTTGCGAAGGTTAACATGTGGTTAGACAAGCGGCATTGTGTGCGCTTGTCAAATGGTGCCAGAATACTCCCCAGGGAGTGGGGCTTATGCACCTTATGTGTATTAGCAATGGAATCCAACTACCAGAGTAATAGTACTTACAATGTAAATTAAGCGCTAGGAGTCGTAGTATTAAGCGTTTATTTATCAATCCTCTGCTTGTTTCATCTGTGAACGTATGTTTTTGGGTTTTAATTACCAATATAAAATTATCTCGTTTTCTCCCTAGTCTGGTTTTGCTGTGGATGAAGACGAAACAAACAAAAACTCAGAACATCAACCGCATAAGGTTAGACCATCATGTTTAATGTTATTTGGTGTTACCATTTTAATATCATAGTAATGATTACAGCTATCAATCACGTTAAATAGGGACAAATTTCTATGGATGGGAAAACAAAAGTAGTATTATGAATGGCATTATGATATTGATATAATGTATACTAGAAAAAGCAACAGAGGCAATATATCTCTAATATTTATAAAAGATTTCGGAAATCCTACTTCCTATAGTAACAAATGGTTTGTTATCCAGCTCTTCATAAGTGAGGATCGAAATGAGCACCGATTGTTGTAGTTGATTCGTGTGCGTATTTATACTGCATTGTAGACTACTCTGGCGAGCGGTGGGCAAACCTTTCCGACAACACCTATCTGGAAAGTGAAGGGTTTATGTTATTCATTAATTAACTTTAAACACATGGAATGGATGTGCCCTTTGAGCAAAAGTTGGTTTCCGAAGGGTTCAACAAAATAATAACCCCCCCCCCCCAAAAAAAAAGACAGTTACCAGTCGATATTTACAAACATGAGAACAAAGAGGCAAAACAAATGAACAATAAACAACACATTAAAATAATAATTAAGATGGTATAGGCCTACAGTTCAATTCATTTTGGGTTCAATTGGATAAGAGTTAACACGTCACAGTTCGAGTCAATTCCGAATAAAATCCCTAAACATGTTTCTGTTCTCATGTTTCTTTATACCTCAGTATGTTGACAATCTGCCACCAAGTTATGAGGATGTTGCCACCAGTCCAACAAATGACAAGGGAACACAAGCCATGGATGATGAGGATACAAGACTTTAGAATCAGTGGATGATGTGAATACAAAACTTTAGAGCTGTAGACTACAACAATGTCTCTGAGTATCGCTATATGTGTCGTGTATATCTTGTTGTCAAATACGTATCGCTTATTATTGTTCTGATATTTTATTGAAGCTACATAATGTGTAGTAGTTATTAAAGGGGGTCCATCTTGATTTAAGTTGGTTCCGATAGAAGCAGAACATGAGAGGAAGAGGTCAGTGATTGTTTGAGCAATATCCTATTTAAAATAAGACAGTTATAATTTTTTTTAAAGATTTCATCAGTGATACACAAATTGGCAACACCGTGACATGTCTTGCGAGGTCCTCTCCAATTTCCTCTGTACAGAGAATTTCAGAAACGTTCATTTTCTTACTTAATGGTGACGGGATAGAATTGTTTTCAACAGATAGAGGAGGTATAAAAACGTATTTAATTATAAGTATATTTTGGGTGAATGCATGATTAAACATTTTCTCAATGAACAGGGCGAAAAAGGGAGGGGATCTCGCAAGATAGGTCACAGAGTTACAATTTTTTTATTACACTTTGAAAAATGTATAACTTTCTTATTTTTAATCGGATTTTGCTCAATTTTTCATTGATCTGTTTCTTTTATTTATCCGCTTCAATTTAAACCAACTTAATATCAGCCTAAGGGTTGGACTCACCCGATAATGTGTTTGATGCTGAAACTAAGACAGTCTATTGCCAAATATACAATCGCTTCACGATACTTTGCAAACATCACTCAGACGGGTATAACAATCCGTTCAAAATGTTGATTGCGTGGTAAATAACAATTAAAAAATGTAATCGCTTGGTGTGTCATTTTATGTTAGACTTTAGAGAAATTAGATGAAACATAGTCGCAACTATTTTCGGAAAATCAAATGAAGGGCAATTTGAAGACCCTGTAGTATATTACTTAGAAATCAAATTCGGGTTCGCTGTCTTCCTCGCACAATATGATACGTGATGCACAAGGTTATTTGTTTTTTATTTCAAAATAGAACATAATCATATACATAAAGTAACAATTATTTTTTAATTTTATATAATTATAAATGTGTAAGTACATTAAATAAGTTGCATACGAACACATATATTTTTCAATGAAAAATGATAAATTTAACTTTCCTTTGGTTAAATTTGTTTGTATGTAGTTGCGATTGTGTTATACAATCATTGATAATACAATGATGAATATATATATCATTCTGCAAAGACACTAAGTTAGAAAAAATCGCAAAAAAAAACACTTTGAATTGAAGACAGTCAGATGAATGAAAATAAAACAGCTACAGTGTTTTTCAAAAATATGGCTTTTTTAAATTTGCTAATACACGTACCTTTGAATACCTGAATGAAAATGGTATAATAAATGCAACTTCATATACATTCATAGTATAATTCCACATTAGAACATTTCAAAAGCACTTAATACAGGGTAAATAGATGCAGAAATGTGTTCACGTCCTATAGCGAATAGAGGTGGACCTACTCCTTCAGGTCACAATTTTGTATATATTAAGTATACACAAAGTAGTCAAAACTTGAATAGATTTTGTATGAGTATCTTATCAATTAACATCACCGTGTTTGCATTTATTTTTTCACTAACTTGCGAGTTTATCATATTTGTTATGTCGGATGACTTCATCGTGTTGTGGTTATTGTGTTCATTGTACTTTAATTAACTTTTTGAATCATTTTTCTCTTATATTCTGTTAAATCATCTTAAAATACAGAATACTTGTACTATACTGATGCAATGCAGTACCCTATCAGAAATGTTGGTATGGAAATGATATCTGCCCCCAAAATAGTATTTTATAATACCTTTGTTACTTTATTTTATCAGCTTCAAGCAGAACATTATGTTAAGAATCTCTAAATTTGGGTATTGTCAAAGCGTGTAATGACCAACATGAAGTGGTGAAGTAAATGTGTATATGTAAATAAACAAGGATATATATTGAATTCATTCATATGTGAATATGATCTATATTCAATTTGTAATATCTCGAATTCATTTAGTACTTTATGTTAGGTGAACAGAGGGCCAAATAGAAATGACATAAATTACCAAAAATAATTAATGCTGCAATTGTTTTCTTTGATAATGTTTTTCTTCATCTTATTTTATTTGTGTACGCCTATTAATTTCGGAAACCTTAGACTTGTTTGTGATACTGTGTATAACCCGCTAGATTAAACTCTTGGAGTTTTTCTGCTTCTAGACAAAACAGTTGGTTTTAATAACAACCAGTATAATTTGAATGTAAATCAATCAATTTTCCTCATTCAAAAAATTATGTCATGACGACCATCAATTACGTGACTTCTATTTAATTTTGCCATAATACAATGGGTTTACAAATGATTTATGATATCGTATGTATGATATCGCAGGCATTGCTTGTTTTTAACTGACAACTAATTATAAAGATATGTTATATCATCCCTGGTTTTGCTGTTTTGATGATTGTGTTCATATTAATACCTTATGATATTTTGTTAACTTACAGTTTTGCTATGATTATGATATGTACTTTTTATGTTGAGAGAACGAAATTAAAAACTAAAAAACGGACTGATATTATATTTGTGAAGTATTATCTGATCAATTATCGCACATCGTGTTCAGGGTAACAGTAGGGCGCTTTAGCAACGCGACAGCAGGCAACGACGACGGGAGAAATCACTCAACCTAGATCGTCCTGTACTATGCTCCAGTCTTCATTTGTAACCTGTATATAGAGTGCTTTTGCAAACACGACGGAAGGCAAAGACGAGGGGAACCGAGGAAAAAAATCAATCTGCCCATGTGCGTACCAGAATTTTCTCCGTCTTGTTGATTTTCACGACCGTTCTCAGCCATAATAGCGTTCGTTCCCTAAACTCGACAGAAGAGTTGTTTCGCCGTACAATAGACCATTTTCGTAATGTAACCACATTTAATGCATAAGTCTTTGTGAAGTGCCTCAATAGAAATTATTTCATTCACCTGATAAGAATAACAGTATTTCAATAGACAGAGTGCCAACTGCGTACATTATTTGATCTCGGTTGAGTGAATTCTCCCGTCCTCTTTGCCTTACGTCGCGATGCTAAAGCGCCCTAGTATGCAAACACCCCCGCCCTAAAGTAACGTTTTGTTAAGGCTACCAGCAGTATGTACGCTTCTTTCACTTTACAATGGTTCTTCTCATGATATTTGTATACATTTCCTATAGTCTAAATAGGCTATTAGAGGTGTCATTTTGTTTGATCCACCCCCCCCCCCCCGTCGTTGACTAAAAAACACCTCTTTATTTAATTATTAAAACAAATTACAGACACAAAATCCCAGCCTTCCACCGCTTTAAGAATAAAGTTCCTAAAACTTTTTCTTTTGTATTTGTTTTAACGAATAAGAGAATAATGAGCTAAGATTTTAAAAAGATTTATTTTATAATGAAGTTACAAGCCGATGCCTAAATAGACAATACCTAGAGCAAATGTTCCATATTAGGCTCACAGTATCCTCTTGTCCTCAGTTTAACGACCTACCTAAGAATAATTAAAGTACATGTATATAGCTTTCATTGTACGTGACGCACACCTCAGAATGTCAGGGTACGTTCAGGGTCATTTAGATTCAGATTCTTTTTATTGGTCCATTTTGAAATTCACTTATTGGCATAACATAAAGCACATGAACAATATACAATAGAAAATAATATGCACAAATACATAATCCACAGTAGCAAAGTTACATTGACATATTCATATGGAAACACCGATATAAATTGTTTTTATATAGATGAATAATATTAGGTATAGCACACCAAAAAAAAGTACAACAAACATATGTTATTTGATGATTGCAAATGAT